CCCACTTGCTCATACACAGACTTACTCATACTACTCACATCCAGACGTACTCATACACAGACTCACTCATACCCAGACTTACTCATACACAGTATTAGTCATACTCAGACTTACTCATACCCAGACGTACACATACACAGACTTTCTCATACACAGACCTACTCATACCCAGACTTACTCATACACAGACTTACTCATACACAGACTTACTCATACTCAGCACCCCTAAGGGGAGCCGCCAGGGGTGGTTGCACGGGCTCGTTCGCGGCCATTTTGTGGGGATGTCTCAGGCGGTTTGCCTGTTTCTGGGCCCAACATCCTTCGCTTGGAGAGCAGATTGTGAGGATGTCTCAGGCGGGGCGCTGGTTTCAGCACCCCTAAGGGGAGCCGCCAGGGGTGGTTGCACGGGCTCGTTCGCGGCCATTTTGTGGGGATGTCTCAGGCGGTTTGCTTGTTTCTGGGCCCAACATCCTTCGCTTGGAGAGCAGATTGTGAGGATGTCTCAGGCGGGGCGCTGGTTTCAGCACCCCTAAGGGGAGCCGCCAGGGGTGGTTGCACGGGCTCGTTCGCGGCCATTTTGTGGGGATGTCTCAGGCGGTTTGCTTGTTTCTGGGCCCAACATCCTTCGCTTTCGGAGCAGATTTGGAGGATGTCTCGAGCGAGGCGCTCATGTTCACCCCCCAGGTGGGCCAGATTTTGAGGATGTCTCGATCGGTTTGCTTGTTTTGGTGGCCAGGCTCGTGGGCGCAGATTCTTCTCAGGATGCCACAGGAGGCTCCAACAGGCTCCAGGAGGCCCCAGGAGACCACATGAGGTCCCAGGAGGCATCAGGAGGCCACAGAAAGACTCAAGAGGCCACAGGATGTCCCAAGAGGCTCCAGGAGGCCCCAGGAAGCTCCAGAAGGCCTCAGGAAACCACAGGAGGCCCCAGGAGGCAACAGGAAGCGCCAGGAGGCCTCGGAAGGCAACAGGAGGCCCCGAGAGGCCCCAGGAGCAGGAGGCCTCAGAAGGCAACATGAGTGGCTCCAATCCCATGTGGTTTACGTATGCTCCTATCGATTGGGCCTCACCTGGAGCACGATTGTTTGATGTTCTACGTATGTTTCTATAGATGGTCCTTCTCCTGTGTACACAATCCTAAATGTTTTACTCATGTTCCTGTGTATTGGGCCTGTCCTGGGGCACGAGTCCTTGGTGTTTTACGCGTGTTCCTATAGATTGCCCTTCTCCTGTGGCTCTAATCCGCAATGTTTTATGTACGTCTGTTGCTATAGATTGCGCCTCTCCTGGGGCACGAAACCTTCCTAGGAGGTCCCAGGAGGTCCCAAGAGGCTCCTGGAGACCCCAGGAAGCCCCAGTAGGTTTCAGGAGGCCCCAGGAGGCCCCAGGCTCATGCACAGAGACGCGCTCGTACTACTGAGGCTCATTCACACTCCAATTCATTCGCAGTTAGATTGATGTCCAGACCGTCACAACTGAAGCCCGTTAATATTCGAAAGCTCTTGCGCCTAGACATTCACGGCGGACAGGTCCATGCGAGTAGATGCACATATGGGGAGCTCCACGCAGTGAATAATGATCACGACGACTAGATGGGACCTCCCCGTCCTCCTCCATTCCTTCTCCTTATAAATAACTTCTCCCTGTCGCACCCCGAAGCCAGTTTTTAGGGCGGGCCAGGCGTTTCGCCTGAGACTTCCTCACTATGTATGGCTCTGAAGCTTAACATTGAAAACAGTTTCGCAGATGGAGGGCGGGTCGTTTTCAAAATGTGGCTCTCGCCTTAGCGCGGCGCACACGCGTTGTAATTGCCCTGTGACGTACCCAACCCTGTCTATACATGTGGCGAATCGATTCAGGACCACTCAATAATGACTGGCACTCTGAAGGGCCCGCAGTGCGCAAGAAGAGCACCCAGCAGTGCGTTCAGAAGAGCGTAGCAAGAAGAGGAACTGCAAAGATACAAAATGGAGACACAGAGGCGTTGAAAGAAACGCGCCCAAAAAATTAGCACAAAAAGGCGCGGCGGCGAGGTCCTCAGATGGTCCGCGTATGACGTACCTCCGCTGGGCCTGGCAGGAGCCCACGACAGTGGCGACAATTGCGCAGATCGCAAGCCCCCCAGGGGGCGGCGAGGTCCCGAGGTGTTCCGCGCATGATGTACCTCCGCTGGGCCTCCCAGGAGCCCACGAAAGTGGCGACAATTGCGCAGATCGAAAGCTCCCCAGGGGGTGGCGAGGTCCCGAGGTGGTCCGCGCATGACGTACCTCCGCTGGGCCTCCCAGCAGCCCACCACAATGGCGACAATTGCGCAGATCGCAAGCCCCCCAGGGGGCGGCGAGGTACCGAGGTGATCCGCGTGGGACGTACCTCCGCCGGGCCTCCCAGGAGCCCACGAAAGTGGCGACAATTGCGCAGATCGCAAGCCCCCCAGGGGGCGGCGAGGTCCCGAGGTGGTCCGCGTATGGCGTACTTCCGCCGGGCCTCCCAGCAGCCCACGACAGTGGCGACAATTGCGCAGATCGCAAGCCCCCCAGGGGCCGGCAAGGTACCGAGGTGATCCACGTGGGACGTACCTTCGCTGGGCCTCCCAGCAGCTCACGAAAGTGGCGACAATTGCGCAGATCACAAGCCCCCCAGGGGGCGGCGAGGTCCCGAGGTGTTCCGCGTATGGCGTACTTCCGCCGGGCCTCCCAGCAGCCCACGACAGTGGCGACAGTTTCGCAGATCGCAAGCCCCCCAAGGAGCGGCGAGGTACCGAGGTGATCCGCGCATGACGTACCTCCGCTGGGCCTCCCAGCAGCCCACGAAAGTGGCGACAATTGCGCAGATCGCAAGCCCCCCAGGGGGCGGCGAGGTCCCGAGGTGATCTGCGTGGGACGTACCTCTGACGGGCCTCCCAGCAGCCCACGAAAGTGGCGACAATTGCGCAGATCACAAGCTCCCCAGGGGGCGGCGAGGTCCCGAGGTGTTCCGCGTATGACGTACCGCCGCTGGGCCTCCCAGGAGCCCACGAAAGTGGCGACAATTGCGCAGATCGCAAGCCCCCCAGGGGGCGGCGGGGTCGAGAGGTGATCCGCGTGGGACGTACCTCCGCTGGGCCTCCCAGGAGCCCACGAAAATGGCGACGGTTGCGCAGATCGCAAGCCCCCCAAGGGGCGGCGAGGTGCCGAGGTGGTCCGCGTGGGACGTACCTCCGACGGGCCTCCCAAGCCCCACGAAAGTGGCGACAATTGCGCAGATCGCAAGCCCCCCAGGGGGCGGCGAGGTCCCGAGGTGGTCCGCGTGGGACGTACCTCCGCTGGGCCTCCCAGGAGCCCTCGAAAGTGGCGACGGTTGCGCAGATCGCAAGCCCCCCAGGGGGCGGCGAGGTCCCGAGGTGATCCGCGTGGGACGTACCTCCGCCGGGCCTCCCAGGAGCCCACGAAACCGGCGACAATTGCGCAGATCGCAAGCCCCCCAGGGGGCGGCGAGGTCCCGAGGTGGTCCGCGTATGGCGTACCTCCGCTGGGCCTCCCAGCAGCCCACCACAGTGGCGACAATTGCGCAGATCGCAAGCCCCCCAGGGGGCGGCGAGGTCCCGAGGTGGTCCGCGTGGGACGTACCTCCGCTGGGCCTCCCAGCAGCCCACCACAGTGGCGACAATTGCGCAGATCGCAAGCCCCCAAGGGGGCAGCGAGGTCCCGAGGTGATCCGCGTGGGACGTACATCCGCCGGGCCTCCCAGCAGCCCACGAGAAGTGGCGACGGTTGCGCAGATCGCAAGCCCCCCAGGACAGTTGCGCAGATCGCAGACCGCACGAGAGAAGAGGAGAAGGGAACACACGAGACAGGAGAGGAGGAGAGGAGGAGGAGGAGGAGGAGGAGGAGGAGGAGGAGGAGGAGGAGGAGGAGGAGGAGGAGGAGGTGGAGACAACACTGCTCTATTCAAAACGAGTACCCAACACCACAGGAGGGTTGGGAAAACATTGAACGAGTTTCACAGATTGAGGGCGGGTGGGTTTTAACATGTGGCTCTCGCCTTAGCGCAGCGCACATTCGTTCTAAACATTTGCCAGAGCTTCACGGGTTGAGGGCGGGTGGTTGTCAAAATGTGGCTCTCGCCTTAGCGCGGCGCACATTCTTTCTAAACATTTCCAAGAGTCTCACGACATGATGGCGAGTCGTTTTCAAAATGTGGCTCTCGCCTTAGCGCGGAGCACATTCGTTTTTAAACATTTGCAAGAGCTTCGCGGATTAAGGGCGGTTCCTTTGCAAAATGTGGCTCTCGCCTTAGCGCCGTGCACATTCGTTTACACAATTTTCAAGAGGTTCACGGATTCCAATCATCAACGTACCGGAAATGGTGTTGTGGAAGGATTCAGGATTATGCGGGTGCAGCAGTTACGTTGATTCTCTGTTGAAATCCTAGAATTTGCGTTCTGGCACGATTCAGGACCGTCAAGACGCAACAATCAGGTTGATCCGTGGCGCTGGAATCCCGAGAACAATGTCTTGGCATGCTTCAGGGTCTTCAAACGGGTGCCTTCCAACGAGGCAGTTCCATCAATGGAAATGAGCCGTTGTAAGGGCCAATGAAGAGGGAGCTTGGAGGGAGGGTTTACTCCAACATCGTTGATGACTCTTGGATTTGCACTGGCCCTCCTCCTCCTCCTCCTCGTCCTCGTCCTCCTCGTCCTCGTCCTCCTCCTCCTCCTCGTCCTCCTCCTCCTCCTCCTCCTCCTCTTCCTCCTCCTCCTCCTCCTCCTCCTCCTCCTCCTCCTCCTCCTCCTCCTCCTCCTCCTCCTCCTCCTCCTCCTCCTCCTCCTCCTCCTCCTCCTCCTCCTCCTCCTCCTCCTCCTCCTCCTCCTCCTCCTCCTTCGTCCGAGTCCACGTCCTCCTCCTCCTCCTCCTCCTCCTCCTCCTCCTCCTCCTCCACCACCTCCTCCTCCCCACTCTCCTCCTCGCCGCCGCCGCCGCCGCTCGGCTGCCGCTGCCTGGCACGCAAAGGCCCCCCCCGGCCTGCACAGCCTGCGCCAGGCCGGCCGCCTGCGACGAGACCTGCGCCACGGCGTCGTCGAGGTTCTCCCGAGGCGCGGCTGTCGTCGTCGAGGTCGAGATGTTCGTCGCCGCCGGGTCGACGGTCGAGGAGGCTCTCGAGGGCGGCCGTCGTCGTCGGTCGAGGTCATCGTCGCCGTTCGGATCGAGGAGGCTCGAGGACTGATGGAAATTGCGAACATGTTTGGGGCTTCCTGGGCCTCTGGGGGGCGATAGGGGTGAGAGGGGGAGGGAGGGAAAGTGGGTGTGGGGGGGGGGAGGGAGGTATAGGGGAAGAGGAAGGAATGAACGGGTGGAGGGGGGGAAAAGGGGGGGGGAGAGGGAGGAGGGAACGGGGGAGGCACGTGGGAGGGGATCAAGGAGGAAGGGGGAGGCGGGAACGATGGACGAGGGCACAGGGCGGGGAACCTGGGTGAGGGAGGGGGTGGAGCAGCGCATGTAGGAGCAGGAGGATAGAAGGGAGGAGAGAAGACGGATGATGAGAAAGAGGAACAACGGAGCAGGAGCGAGGGAAATCAGGAGGAGCAGAAAGAGGGAAGATGGAAGCATTGGAGAACGGTGGAAGGAGGAGGATGAAGGCCTCCAGAGGTCTCTGGAGGCCCGAAACCGACCAGAATCGTCCAACAAACGGCATCCTCCTCACTCTCTCCGACGGCGGCAACGACGACGGCGGCTACGGCGACGCAGGCGACGGATCTGATGACGGCAGCGGCAACGACGACAACAGCTGAAAGAGAACGTTAGGGGTCGACAAGCTGAGGGTGTATACATCGACCCGGCGTCGACGATACATCGGCGGTAGATCGGCGAAGGGCCCCCAATAGCGAATAACACGTTCCTTGGCGGGTTGGGCCATCGGGCCCCTATCGGCGATCAGTGGGCGATTGGGGTCAATGCGTTCCCCCCTAAGCCTGTCCCCCCCTTACGTTGCCCCAGAATGACGGCGGCGTTCTTGACGATTCCAGCACCCCTGGAACGCCCTCGGAGAGGCGCAGCTGATGAGAGGCACCCCGGGGCTGCGAAACCACCGAGAACCGAGGAGAACACCAGAAAACCTCGAACCTCAGTGTTGGGCAGCATGACCCCCCCTCTTGACGTTGCCCCCGAATGACGGCGGCGGAGACAACGACAACAGCGCAGGCGGTGGCAACGACGACGGCGACGGTCGCCAATGAAGGCGGCGGCGACGGCGACGAGCCGAGGCTGGCGGCGCGCACAAGGGTGCGGAGGGAAGGGGGGAGGCCTCTTAGAAGGAGGCTGCTACTTAGAAGGCGCCAGGCGCCTGGGAAGAGGTCCAAGGGCCCATGTCCCGAAAAAGGCGCTGAACCGCCAGATGTCTGGGGAGGAGGGGAGCCGGCGGCGCCCACGGGGGTAGGGGGGAGGGGGGAGCCCTCTTAGAAGGAGGCTGCTTCTTAGAGGGCGCCAGCCTTACCTTACATCTACAGATAAGGCCCGCGCCCTCTAAGAGGCAAAGGTGCTTCTGAGAAGCCCCCGCCATCCCCTGGCGCCCCTGTGCGTGAGGCTGATGAAGGCCAGAGCGGCCACAGCGGCGGCCGGAGCGGCGGTTCGGGGCTCCTGCACCCGAAGCTCGAGCTTGTGGACCTGCGAGGTCTGCCGCTGCTGCGCCTCCTCGGGGGCGTCCGGGGGGGGATCGGACCTGCAGGATCAGTCAACATCGAATCAGAAAATCGGGTCGATTCGAAATGTGCGTCGAATCGGGCTGCATCGGCACGGAATCTAAATAGAATTGGATCGGCTGCGCCAAGATACACAACAGCGCCCATGCAAGCATCGGGTCGCATCGGAACCACCCGAACATCGGAATGGAATCGGATCAATCGGGAAGCATCGATACCGAATCGGACCGATCGAATCGAACCGGTCCTTCACCTACGGATCTCTGAACGATGTCTGACCTCTCTCTGGAGGACCTTCCGAAAGGATCTCTGAGCACTCTCTCGAAAAGAATTGTGGCGCCGAAAGAAATCTGATGCGGAAGAACGGTTGGGACCCGTGCAGGGAGAGGCGGCCACTTCGGGCGGGCAGCCCGCCCCCCGCGCGCCCCGAAAGGACAGGGCCAGCGGCTTCAGTGACGAGGGCGCCGGGGGCTGCCCCTGGGGCTGGGACAGCCCAGGAGGCGCCGCTGGGGGGAAGGGGAGGAGGAGGAGGAGGAGGAGGAGGAGGAGGAGGAGGAGGAGGAGGATTGCAAGCTGTTCCAGTTCTGGGCCGAGCCCCAGCCACAGCGGCGCTGTCGGCAGACGGCGACGACGCCCCCCGCCCGTCCGCCCGCCTCGCCCACGACGACGACGACGACGCGTCAATCCACCCACCCACCCACCCTGATGGGCCTGTCTTCCACCACCACCACCATAAGTTGGAGAGGGGAAGAAGGAGGAGGAAGCGGAGGATGACGAGGACGAGGAGGAGGAGGAGGAGGAGATGGAGGAGGAGGAGGAGGAGGAGGAGGAGGAGGAGGAGGAGGAGGAGGAGGAGGAGGAGGAGTAGGAGGACCCCCTCCCCCTCCAATGTATGGTGGTGGTGGTGGTGGAACACAGGCCCATCACACCCACCCCCGCATGATGGGCAGCAGGCAGGCAGACACGCGCAAGCGCCACCCCAGAGACCGCCGAGAAAGGGGGACGAGGATCCGCAGACATCTTCTGCGCTCCTTGGAGGTCCCAGAACGGTGCTGTGACAGACCGTGCAGTGACCACGGAATCCCTCAGGACCTCACAGCACGGTCTGGCACCGCAGAATTTTCGGCCCCACTGGAGGCCCCAGCCGCCCAAAACATCCTCGGAGAACGGCCCAAGCCCCAAAACCGTGCAGGCATCCCGAATCCCCGCTGATTCACCCCACGTTAAGGTCACTATGTGGGAGTCCTATGCCGGAATCCTACGTGAAAGGCCGATGGGAAAATCTCATGGAGGAATCCTGTAGGGGAACCTCGTGGGGGGGAATCCCATTACGAATCCCATGGGGGCGACTTCTGGGAGGGGGTCCTGCGGGGGAATCCGCATCCAATTAGAATCCATGTGGAATCCGATTGAAATCTTCAGGTTTTGTAATTCCAGAGGATCCCACAACAACTGATTATCCCCGGGGGCATGCTTCCCTGGAGCCCCTTTTCTTATTTGTCCCAGGGCCGCCCCGAAAACACAATGCACAGTTGTGCGAAATGACGATTCGCGTGTCCATCGGGGGGGAGGCGGGGCCCCCCTGCTGACTCCACCTGCTTGAAACAGGCGCCAAAAAACAGCCAAGATCTACTCCGTAGGGGGGGTGCGAGGGCACGCGCCGATCAGCAAAATAATGGAAGGAGGAATTTAGAGGTGGGTGGACAGGGCAGAGGGGGAGGGAAGGAAAAAGAGAGCACGGTGCAGGAATGGGAATGAAGGACGACGGAAATGGAGGTCGAGAGGGAAGAAGGCAGGAAGAAAAGTAGGAGGAAGAGGAAGAGGAGGGTGAGGAGCAAGCAGGGGGGAAAGGAGAGAATATGAAGAGGAGAGTGAGGAGGGGGGAGAAGGGAAGGAAGAGCTAAGGGAGGAAGGAGGACGAGGATGAAGGTGAGAAGTAAGAAGCATGATGAGGACTACGAGGAAAGGGAGAAGCAGGAGCAGGAGGGAGAAAAAGGGTGAGCAGGAACAATAATGAGCAGGATGAAGAGGGCGGGAAAGTGATGGAGACGTAAGACGAAGCCAGAATGATAATAACATCGGGTGCGGATGAGTCGAGAATCTATGAGATCCAGCGGCTCTGGAGGATGCCTCGGGCGCCACGCCCTTCTCAGCACAGCGCTCCGGAACGGATTTATCCTCGTCCTAGCCCCGTCCGAGGATGGGAGGATGGCGAGGGAGACCTCCTCCTCCTCCTCGTCGTCGTCGTCGTCTTCCACCTCATCCTGATCTGGGAAGAACAGAAAATACCGATGCCGCTACTCCCCGGACCTCTCATGAGATGCATTCTGACCAGAACTGCAAGGCGAATTCAGCTGGCGACGAGGGCCTGCCAGGAGGCCCAAAAGCAGGGAAACGAGGGAAGGGTATGGCAGCATCGGCACCTCTTCCTCTGCTCCTCCTCGAATGCTCGGATGCTCGGTGCCTGGCGCGGCGCTGGTGGCTTGCCCGGTCAGGCCCGTCACTGCCCGGGGCCTGGGCCCGCAGGGGCTGCCTGCCGCCGCTCAGCCCTGCCGCGCGGCGGCGCACGCCGCGCGCCGCTCCTGCGCCCGGGCTTCGGCCTCGCCGGGCGCGGTGTCGCGCACGAGCAGCGACCAGCGCCGCGACCGCAGGACCTCTCTCGGCTACACATAGGAGTGGCCCCGGGGGGAAGACTGACCTCTGGTGCGCGGCTTCTGTCGGGGCCCCGGGAGGCCAGACGCAAGCGCGCAAGACCTTCCTACCGCATCGGGCTCTGCGAACGGAGGGCCCCAATGGGCTCCCAGCAAAGGTCACTCCAGTTGAAGGTCACTCTTACGTCTAGTCGACTCTCTCCGAGGCCACGTTTGTTAGCGGCGATGTTGGGAGTCTGGTTTTTGAAGGGGCCCACGGACGCACTAACAAATGGACACATATCCCAGGATTCCCCCAACGTTTCCATATGTTCTGGAGATTCGCCTCCCCCTCCGCCTCCCATATTTTCCCATATTTCCCGAAAATCAATGATAATTTGTCTGTGTGTTCTTTCCCTTCTGAGATTTGAGGCGCCGAGCTCGCGCAGAATACGGTGGAGGAAATCACGAACAGCGTTTTTCCTGAAATTGGGTTGGCCATGGCCACGAGCCACCCCCACCCACAATACCGCTACGCCACTACGTCGCCGTTACCTTCATCGCCGTTGGCGTGTCTACGACCTATGGAGGGTGGAGATGACCGATGAACCGAAACGGGCTCTTCCGAAAATATGGGAACACACAACAACATACTAGAACCGCGTGTCCTAGCTAGTTTTATGCCTGAAGCGCCAGCCACGAAGCGCCAGCCACGAAGACAACAAAATATTGTACAACCATCGAGTAGTATACCGTCTCGCTAGCTTTATGGCCAGAAAGCGCCAGCCACGAAGCTTGTACTCCAAGATCTCTCGGCGCGCTCGTCGCCCCTGTGGGGGCGACGCACACATAGTATCAGTCTGTTGGTGTGACGCCGATCGTTGCAGGGTCGAGATTACCGATGAAAAGAAACGAACTCTTACGCAAGAAGGCACAGCCAGACCTGCAACACGTTGGAAGAAACAAGGCGGAGACTGCTTGCCTTTTTCGGCCCCTGAGGGCCCTCGCCTGGCCCAGCGACCGTCAAAAACCAACTCGGTGCGAAACGCTGGTGCTAGAGGCCTCCTAGATGGGGTCCGAGTAGATGGGGTCGAAGGATCGCGCCGTATCGCCAATGCATCGCCGATGTTTCGGCGATGCATCGGCGATGCATCGGCGACGTCGGCGATGCATCAGCGACGTCGGCGTGGGGAAACACGGTCTCCACATGGAGCCGCATCATCAGCTACAGCGGAGCAGTCGCGTATACCTGCGGTCACTGCAGACGAAGTCAAAGCCCACGTGAAGACATCGAAAAGAGGAAGAGCGTCAGACTCAGCTGGCATTGCCGCGGAGATGTTTAAAGAAGGCGGCGATTACTTGTCGGAGGTGATATCGCAAGTGTTCACGAGCATATTATCGGATGGGGAAGAGCCTCCGCAGACGTGGCGGCACACGTGCATCAAAGTACTTTGCAAAACAAGAGACCATAGTTTTGCTGCACGAAAAGATGCACGAGCACAACATGGACCTTTGCCTCGCTGCCGTAGACTTCGAGAAGGCGTTTGATTCAGTCAGCCACGCGTCGATATGGACATCCCTGAAAGAGCAAGGAGTGCCAGAGTCCTACATCCGGGTGTTGAGTACACTGTACAGGGGGCAGACAGGACAAATCCTGTCAGACTGTGCGAGCTGTACGTTCAGTTTGGAGCGGGGGACCGGGCAGGGGGAGCCGATGAGCCCCACGTTGTTCAATGCAGTGCTTGAATCTATAATGAGAGATCTCGAGCGGAAATGTGAGAAAAAAGTACGGCGTCGACATTGGAGGCAAGTGTCTCACGAATCTTCGTTTCGCGGACGACATTCTGTCGTTTGGGGCCACGAGGGCGCAAATCAGGCACATGCTGGGAGACTTGGCGAGTCGCGCAGCTGAGGCTGGGCCGATACTACACGCAAGGAAAACAAAAGTCGTCTCTAACGTCGTCAGCCGGAGAGGCGTCCTTACGCAATCTCATTTCCAAGGTGGACCAAAGAAGATCGAGGTTCTCCCAGTGGACGGAAGTGTTTCTTATCTCGGGCGGAAATTGTATTTCGATGGTTTCCACGACGTTATATTTCAGCACCGAATTCCGAAGGGCTGGGCGGCTTTTGGCAATTTTAAGGCTGTGCTCTGCAATAAACATTATCTTTTGCGATCCAGACTGCGATTGTTCGACTGAGAAAAATGCTTCGGAAAATTATTGCGACGCCACCTATGAGGGCAACTGATTCGGGAGAGGTGGAGGAGACATACGTTGATTGGATCTCTCGCGCAACCTATAAAGCTGTGGCCGAGTATGAGAAAACAGGTCTGCACACATGGGTGCAGTGTCACAGGTTCCGTAAGGACACCCTCTTGCGGAAGACCTTCGACAGCGCCGACGGTAGGTGGTCGAAAGCCGTGCTCGACTGGACGCCGGGCGGATTCCAGGCGCCAGGCCGACCCTTGAAACGCTGGTCAGACGATGTCAACATGTGATAATGTTTTTGCGAGGGGTGGATGTGACAAGTGGTTGTGAGAAGCTTGTGAGAAGTGGTTGCGAGAACCTTGTGAGAATTAGCTGTGGGAACAGGCAGCGCACCGGCAGCCCGCGCAGGGCGCGCTTCGGCGCACGCCGGCACCCTTGCACCCTTGCACATGGAGCCGCATCGTCGATGCATCGACGACGTAGTGGGATCCTCCGACCCCATCTACTCGGATCCCATCTAGAAGGCCTAGAGGTTCTGGGGAAAGGGTCAGGACCTCCGGGGGCCCATATATCGAGACGGACAAGACATACAAGTAAGTGGCCTCGTAGTCGGACCTAGGCCAGCAGAGCATCCCTCAAGTACATGAGACCCTCCGTTGGCCAAAACGCACAGAACATCCAAGGGTACTCTCCCCAGGATGCACAAGAATACCCAACAAACGCGAAGAACATTAGGGTACCCTCCCCGAGCCGACCTGGATCTGATACCTCGGTCCGACTGCACGCGAGATGGCACAATGATTGTATCGCAGTAAATGAGGGCCACCAGCGTGCCACGCCGCGTGGAGAAGAGGGCGGCCCCACGCGCGACCTCGCGCGGGAAACTCACGCGCGAATGCCCGCGCAAGCGGCCCCGCTTTGCTTCCGTCGCTGAGATGGGTACGGAAAGGATGGGGGCGAAGACCAGCAGCAGCTCCTGCACAGTGGAGCGACGATCAAAAGCGAGTCTTGCGCGAGATGGCACAGCGACCTTACGCGGTGGCTCACGCGGGCCACCGGCGGGGCAAGCCATTTTGGAGACGAGGACGCCTACGCGTGACCTTACGCGGAGAGCTGGCGCGTGAATGTCGGCGCAGTCAGACCTGTTTTTCTTGCGTCGCTCATTTGGGACAGGACTCGCTATCGGTGTCGCCGCGAACTTTGCTGGCTCGAGCCCAAGAGTCGCCTACCCAACACCAGCCACTGCCGGTGTTGGAAAATGGGCACCGTGCCGATCGGACGCCAGAGGTCTCGAGCCCTCAGGTCTCGAGTCTCAAGCCTCGAGCCTCGAGCCTCGATCCTAGAGCCTCGAGCTTCGATCCTCGAGCCTCGAGCCTCGATCCTAGAGCCTAGAGCCTCGATCCTCGAGCCTCGATCCGCGAGCCCCAACCCTCGACCACGTTTGCTCCGTTCCCATTCGATCGTACCCAACCTCCGCTGCGTGCCCGCCCGCGGCGTTGTCCACCTCCAGGCCAGACATGATCTCCGAGAGGGGACAGAAGGATGCTGATGCCGCTGCTCGGCTGCACGCAGGAGTGGCCCCAGGCAGGAGTGGTCATTGGTGCGCGGCCTGAAAGGGGCCGAGGGGGGCCAAATCCAAGCGCACAAGCCCGTATCAAAGTTCACACTGGCGAAGGGCCAGGGTTACGCCTACGGCCGCCTACGCGAAGCCGAGCTGGTTACTCCCCAAACCTCTCTGGGGGCGCGTTCCGGCCAGCATTTCAAAACGGATCCAGCACTGGCGACGGGGGAAGGTGAGCCGCAAGCTGACATGAATTACGGATCCGCGGATCTGCTGCGCGGGCGCCAGATCCACGGACCCGCCAATGTCATCCGAAAACGGGACCCGTCGCTCACCCACGCGCCCTAATCCATGCTGGCGTTTCCTCGAGAAGGGCAGCGGCATCGGTATCGTTTGCTCCTCCGAACCTCGGCCCAGTCCCCCCGCATCAGCAACTTGTCGCGGACCCAGCCGGCGTGGCACGGCAGGCTGGTGTGCCCGATCAGCACCGCCAGGGGCCGGCAGCTCCTCAGCGGTCCGTACGCGGCGCGCGCGGCGACAGACCGTGCGGTTGCACTGGAGCCCCCAAAAACCTTACCGCACAGCCCGTCAATGCACCGCTTTGGGGCCTCGGAGGCCCGTCGCCGGAGAACTACCCGAGTTCCATAACCGCGCGGCCACCCCGAATCTCCACTGACTCACTACATTGGCCCTCCTCCGATTGCTTCAGTTCCCCAGTGAGGCTTGCCCATGGGGTTCTTACTTGATTAAAGGTTGGTGCCTCGGATTCTTTCGTTGCCCGTTACTCGGAGGTTCCCCAGGCTCCTCGGGTTCCTCCCCCCAGTGCCTCCGATTTTTACGTTGCTTGTTGCTCGGAGGATACCCAAATTCCACGGGTTCCCTGGGTTCCTCGCCCCTCGTTCCTCCGATTCTTACGTTGCCTTTTTCTCGGAGCTTTCTCGGGTTCCTCGGGTTCCCCGCCCCCGGTTGCCCCAAGCAATGCCAAGCAATGCCAAGTGATGCCAACCCAAAGCCATGCGAAGGCATGCCAAGCGATGCGCCCATGCAATAGGTTTCCCCCAACTTGGGGTCACGCTGGGTTCGTTTCTGGGTCAGAACTCGTGTTTCGGGCGGCTGTTCGGAACGATCCAGGCACCCTCGGAACATTATCGGTGATGCGCAGCTGCTGGAACGCATGATCGGCTCGAGATGCGTGACGGACCAGGCTGCATCGGCACGGAATCGGAATCGAATCCGATCGGCGGCGCCAGGATATACATCAGCGCCATGCAAGCATCGTGCCACATCGGATCGCACGAAAATATGAATCGAATCGGGCCGGCTGGAGCCGATATCGAACCCGATCGATGGATCGAAATGGGCTCCGCTCGACAACGTGCCACTCCGGGACGTTGGGGGCCGACGGGTCAAGCAGCACGAACTCTGGCAGCATCAGCCTGCAGAGCGCCTCCAGCGCCGAGGGCTGCCCCGAAGGGGGGCTCTGGCCCGACTTCGCGAGGAGGGGGGGGCCGAGGTTGTGCACGGACCTTGGCGGGAAGCAAGCCCAAACTTCCAAAGATATGTTCCAAAGATACGCGCTGTTGAATTCCTGGCGGCCTTGTTAAATTTCGGCCATCGAGGGCCGTCCGGGAAACTACGCCTGGCAACGTGGTCGGTACTTCTGGGACCGCGGATTGAAAGGAACAGATCGGCGGGAAACAAGGCCAGGGCACGGGTTCGTAGGGAAACGGGTCTGGGACCCCGGTCGCTTTCCCCAAACAACAGCTCACCATCTTGAATCGTTTTGCGACGGCCCTGGGGCCCGTGCGGGGGCCCCTCGGAGGCCCGGAAGCAGCATGCAAAACCTCCAGGCCCGTTTCCCTCCAGACCCGCTTACGGCAAGTTCGTGTCGCGTCGACTCCGGCGTTGGTTTCTGACACCGCTGCTGCACGGCCCGCCGCGTGTAGGAAGGTTAACATATATGTAGACTTGCGACCAATTACGACCTGCAACTCATAGCTACTTATAAAGACTTACGCTCGCGACCGTAACTCATTGAATTGCCTTGGTGGCTTCGTCAAAAACAAAAGCTAACACTTTTGTATTTTGTGTGAAAACACTGAACGTAAGTGATTCGTAAATGATCGTAACAGATTCGCACATCAGGCGTACGTGATGTGTTTTTTGTTTTTTTGTCACATGGCCATGAGTATGCACATCAGTGATTCCCTTGCGCGGAAGTGGCGATGTTTCCACCGTGTCTGCGTTTGTTTGTTATTGTGTAGCGTCGCGTTAGAATGCGTGTGTTGCGATTGTAACGTTTGCGCGTTTGTTTGGATGTTGGGGTGGCTTGTAGCGCTGTTGCTGTTATTGTTGTCTGCTGCGTTGATGATTGTTGCTGGTGTGGGGCCGCCGTTGATGCCGCGGCCGCTGTCGTTGTTGTCGTCGTCGTTTTTGTTTTGTTGTTGCTTCTGTTTCGTTTTTGTTGCAGGTGTTGTTGTCGTCGTCGTTGTTGTCGTTGTTGTTATTGATGTTGTTGCTGTCGTTGTTGTGTTGCTATTCTGCTGCTGCCACTGCGCAGCTGTCGCTGTTGATCTGCGACGGTGATGCCGCTGCTGTTGCTGCCACCGCTGACCTCGACGCCGCCGCCGACGCCGACGCCATTTTCCCGCAGGACAACCCCGCAGGGGGGAAAAGGAGAGGAGGGGGGGGGAAGGGGGAAGGGCCCACGATGAGGAGGAGGGTGGAACAGGAGAAGCTGCGGCAAAAAAATAACCGTGGCGAGCAGACAATTTGGTAGCCGCGTTGGCGCACCGGGAAATTGCGATCTAACGCCCGTGGCGACCGAACATGGAAACAGCGATGGCACGCCATGGTTTTCCGATCGAACGCCCGTGGCGACTGCGAACCTGGCAACCGCGATGGCGCACCAGGATGTTGCGCTCTACCGCCTGAAGACATCCAGCCAAAACACATCAACGCAGCAGGGAGGAGGAATCGGAGGAGGAGGAGGAGAAAAAAAACAAAAGGGCAGGACAGGACAGGACATCCGCATAAAAAAGGGGTCAACGCCAAAACACCTAGACTGGTGCCTTGCGCGCGTCTGGCAAAATCCCCAGCGATTTGGTTGTGCAACGGCCCTGACTTCTCACTCGGGCCGGCAGGGGGCATATTCCGAAGCTTCAAGGGGTGAGTTCCGAAGTGGCCCCGTAATAGAAGGCTCGCTACCTTGTGAGTGCGAGTCCCTGCGGGCCAGTGCGGGGGGAGCAGCTGTCGGCGTTTCCGCGTGCCCGTGGAATCGTGGACGCGCCAGGCGAACATGGCTCCCAAGCTAGGAGGGGGGAGACGACGACACGACCACTCAAAAAAAGAAAAGGAGAATCGGGAGGCCCATGCTTTCCAAACTTCTCTTGGGGGGGCTAATTATCCGACTGGTTTTATGCTATTCGACTAAATTATATCCTCTCTCTCTCCCGGCTGACTTCTCTTCCAGAGCGAACTGGCCGATAGTAGGCCCATGCATTGTCGCATCTGTATCCTGATACCCTGCAGTAGTATCCCAGTGTTCCCCCTCGAAATGTCGGTCGGGGAGAGCATGCTGATACTCTCGGCATGTTTGATGTGGGGCCCTCGAGGATGCGCTCTGGTGGCCTTCATGACTATCACCGTTCCATTCCTCACTCCCTGCAGAAAATGCGCCTGTCGGCGCTCAAAAAACTCTTCCCAATACGTTATCTGTGCAAACGCTCTCTCGAGGGTCCTCACGCCGAGAAATCCCTCTCTCCGACGCCGCAGTCCCCTCTCTTCTGTGATACCTCCCCTCCCCCGCACCCCTCGGGAGTGGATCGAACATTTGCTTCGCCTGAATCGCGACCTGAGAATGCTGGGAAACCCTCAGGATGCCACCGTTTGCGAAATAAGCGCCCACGTGTGGAAGTACCGAGAGCCCCGCCCCGCGCCCCGCATTTCAATGTTGGCCACCAAACACGCCGAAGGGGAGTGCGAAGCGTTGCGAAATGAACGCCCACTTATGTTGGATTGCCCAGCCCTCCCCGTCAACCTTGAAATGCGGGGAAAAGGGGGCGTGCTTCGTCGTCTTGTTTTCGATCCCTACGACGGGCGTGTATTTCGCAAGCGGCGGTACCCCCCGCGAGCGTCTTATAGCGACACAGCGCTGTACACTCACATATATATATATATATATATATATATATATATACACATATATATATACACCATATTCATATGTCGTATGTGTATATAGACGTGTATACCTGGACGCGGGTCCTGGCGCGGTTCGGTCTGGCCCGGCCAAAGCCTCGGCGCCTGGGCGGGCGCGCACAAGCCTCCCCGATAGGGAAGGGAGAGGAACACGCTGTGACCAGCGCGACGGCGAGGGCGCCATTCCGACCAGCGACCCGAACACGGCGAACTTCGCCCACGACCCGCGCTCGCGACCTGCGACACGACGCGCGCCCCGCGCCCGCCACCCGTCTACGATCCGTCTGGCCTGGCGGCCCCAACTAGAGCACAACCTAGAGCACAACCTAGAGCACAACTCACGAAGGTATATTTTTTCATTGAAAAAATGGCACTCAACCTTCCAAAAACAAAAAAAGAATCTATACCTTCTGTATTTTCGAACGCGAATGCGTACCAGACTACCATGAACTGAGTTGTGCTCTATGTTGTGCTCTAGGTTGTGATCTAGGTTGTGCTCTAGTTGTGCTCTAAGGCGGCCCCTGGGATAAGCGGTCGCCTGCCCCCCCCGCCCCCGGACCTTCCATCCGACGGAAATGGCGTTGCTCCGTGCCGGCCACGAGCTCCGCGTTGCAAGCGCCGGGCAACGCGCCCTGCCGATGGGTGGCTTCGGGCGGCCTCAAAGTCCTTGCAGGGCGCCAACGGGAGAGCGCAACCCGTTGGCCAGCGGGGCACCCGAGATAATCTAGCAGCCGTCAAGAGCTTCATGCGGACCGGACCGACGCCATGGGAGTCAGGAAACCAAAAGCGAGCATGTGTTCCCCAATCAGAACTTGCCTCTGTATGGGGTCCTAGCGGATTCATATGGTTAGGGGCGCGGCCTTCGGTGGCCAGACCCGCGTGCCTGGGTGCCCAGGGGCGCCCAAGTGCCTGGGTGCCCAGGGGTGCCCGGAGGTGCCCAGGGGAGCCCAACAGCCGTATAACCTTATAGCCCTACAAACCTATAGCCCTACAGCCAAATGGCCCCATAGCCCCATGGCCCAATAGCCCTATAGCTCCATAGCCCTTAGCCCATATAGCCATATAGCCCCATAGCCCGATGGCCCCATAGCCCGACACCCCATGCGGCCCTGTCGCCCTGTAGCCCTACAGCCCAACAGCCACATCGCCCTACAGCCCAATAGCCTCATAGCCCAAGAGCCCCATACCCAATAGCCCAATAGCCCTGTAGCCCCATCGCCATATTGCCTTAGAGCCCATGGCCCTATAGCCCTACACCCCATGCATCCCTGTAGCCATGTCGCCCTACAGCCCAGCAGCCATATAGCCCCATTGCCCCATGCCCCTATAGCCATATGGCCCCATAGCCATATAGCCCAACAGCCATATGGCCCTGTAGCGCTATAGCCCTGTAGCCCTATAGCCCCATGGCCCGATATCCCTATGGCCCATATAGCACTATAGCCCTGTAACCATGTAGCCCTACATCCCTATAGCCCTATAGCCCCATGGCCCTATAGCCCTATCGCCCTATATCGCTATAGCGTAACAGCCCTATATCCTGATGGCCCTATAGCCCCATAGCCCTGTTGCCCCGTAGCCATATATCCCTACAGCCCTGCAGCCCCATAGCCCTAGCCCTATAGCTCTATAGCCTCGTACCCCTATAGCCCAAGAGCCCAATAGCTCAGGGGCCCTATATCCCTATAGCCATAGGAGCTCTGTAGCCCCAGAAAAGAATTGAGTGGGGGTCGTCTCCCGTATCAGTCATACACATTACACGCACCTTCAGAAGCGCTGGAAGGGGCCAGTCGCGCAACGCAACCCATGCAGATGCCCGCAGAGCGCAATGGCACATGAGTCCGCCGTTTGCGAAATAAACGCCCACGTGTGGAAGCACCGAGAGCCCCGCCCCGCGCTCCGCATTTCAATGTTGGCCACCAAACACGCCGAAGGGGAGTGCGAAGCGTTGCGAAATAAACGCGCACTTATGTTGGGCTGCCCAGCCCTCCCCGTCAACCTTGAAATGCGGGGGATAGGGGGCGTGCTTCGTTGTCTTGTTTTCGATCCCTATGATGGGCGTTTATTTCGCAAACGGTAGTGGCGACGCGGCCCTCGCCCCCCTGATCAACCGGCCCGGTCGATAGCGCGAGAGCCCGCCCGATGTCAGCCGCGGCTGCAGGGCACCCAGAGCTTAGAGGGCACCCCTGCGAGTCCGCGAAGACTCCCTCCCATCGCAGTCATCGCTGAGACGATGCCGAAAAAACTCGCGCCGCAAGTTTCTCTGCGGCGGAAGCCAAAACAGCTTCGCGAGGAAGTCGCCCAGGACACTCGGGCGAACGCCGCGGTCTTCCAGGCTGGCGAAGAAGGAGTGGATGAGGTGTTGCGCGTGGCCGCCAGAAGCGGCACCGCAATGCGTCCAGTCGTCGCGCGCGTGATCCACGGGTCTGACGTGGGTCCGCAACCGCCGGCCCCCTGGCAATGCCTCGGGATGACGCGCGATGCCCGTGCCTTCTGGGAATCCGCGAACGCCTACTTCAGCCCGTCGACCCTCGCCGCCGCCGCCACTCTGTCGTGTTTGTGAAACCACCCGGCACTGCTTTGGATGTTGTCATCGGCCGGCCTCGCGTGGGCATGGTGATGCATGTCGCCGACAGTGCGGTCCTAGCTCGTGTTCACCACGGTGCAGCCCCTACAACGGTAACGAAATCCACTGCGGCCTTTGATTGCCCATGCCTCGTTCCCCAATCAGTGTTTGCACTGAAGGGGTCCTCGCGGATATGGAAGGATTTGGCCAAAATTTCCCACCGATTTAGGTTGTTGGCTGGGTTCCCGGGTTCCCGGTTCTGGGTTCTCGGGTTCCCTGTTCCGGGCCGATTTCGGGGGGCAGCGAGGTTCCCGGGTTCCCGGGTTCCTGGTCGATCTTCTTATCGATCGGTCTCACCATCGATCTCATTACCCGACTCTCTATCGATCTCACCATCGATCTCACAACCGATATCACAATTTACCTCACAAGCGATCTCACTAGAGATCATACGAGCGATCTCGCGATCGATCTCACTATCGATCTCATTGAGTCGATGTCACTCTCGGTCTCACGATCGACCTTACAATCGTCCTCACTATCGATCCCACTATTGATCTCACTATTGATCTCAAAATCGATCTCAAGATCCATGGTACAAGCTCTCTAATCATCCACAAATTTGGCTTTTCTCAAGTGTAACTAAAGGCGTCGGCATCGTGACAGGGAAAACTGATGACAACCCGCTGCAGCAACGATTAATTTCCCGAGCAGGCTGCCCTGAAACCAATCCGACAAGAGGCGTGATCACGAGGGTCGATGAAAAGCCTCGAAACGACGCGGAGCAAGCCAGACAATCCGCGAGGCACCCTGTTCATCATTGAGGACCTGAGAATACCTAGGCAACGCCTACCAGTGTCTTGGGGCCGAACGTGCTCAGGTAAATCAAATAACGCCCAATATGTATACGCATCGTCTCCAAGTCGTTGTCTGGGCGGATAAGGCTCGATGGATTGGCTTCGTCACAATATGAAATGATCGACGCCTGGCCCCCTTAGGGGGGGCGCATTTCTCACGCAAAAGATCTCCACACCAAGGGATCTTGCTGCGCACATGGCTGACCAAGGCCACTGGATGCGACACTTCCCATTTGAACGCGTCGAGCGTTGCGACGTCCTTTTCCTGTGGTAGCTCAAAGGCCTGCAGGAGGCTGCCGAACGGCGTCATCGCGTTCACCTCCGCGTCCATCTGACGCGCCAATTCTTGGCGAGTCACGTGCCACCCATCGGTGCTCGCCGCAATGCGGGCAGCCTGACGCACAGATAGGGAGGGGGCGTCGACAAGCCATTGAGGGAATTGCCGCTTGTCGCTATGATGAGCCATCTTGGGCCAAAACGGCTAACAACGGGAGGAAGCGAGAATGGAGGAAGGAGGGCAAGCATGCATAAGGTCAAAGGGGAGAGGGACAAAAGATGAGGAGGCGGAAGGCGAGGAGGAAGGACGAGGAGGACGAGCACGATAAGGGGAAAGACGGAAAGGGGAGTGAAGATTCTCAGGAGGGATGGGAGGGGGGTACTGTCCCGCGGCGCCGGCAGGCTACGACGACCGACGCCGACCACGACCACGACCACGACCACGTCCACCGACGCCACCGCCGCTGATGCTGCCGCTGCTGTTGTTGCGCTGCTTGATGTTCCCTGTGCTGTTGCTGTTGCTGTTGCTGCTGTTTTGATGTTGATGTGTTGCTGTTGCTGCTGTTGCTGTTGCTACTGCTGCTTGTTTCTGTTCGTTGCTTGATGTTGCTGTTGCTGTTGCTGTGGCTGCTGCTCTTGCTGTCGCTGGTGTTGCTTGATGTTGTCGTTGCCCTGGTTGATGTTCTCACTGTTGCTGTTGGCCAATATGTTGTTGCTGATGTTGCTGGTGCACCTGCTGTTGCAATTGCCCGTGCTGTTGTTGCTGCTGTACGGGCGCTGCGACTTGGCGGTTGGCTAAGGGGTGGGGTTGTTAGTTGGGGCGCGGGGGTGAGGGCCTGGCTCAGGAATAGGGCTGTGGTCTCCTAAATGCAATCCCCAAAAGGGCCCAATGGACCTCCGCGAAGATTGCCCCACGGGGCCTGGGCGACGACGACGACGAACGACGAATGATTACGCCGACGACGATCAACGAACGACGATCATTGAACGACGAACGACGAACGACGAATCAATGACGAATAAAGGCGACGACAACTGAACCGTGACTGAATGACACGTGAACTTAACTGAATCGTAAGTGAACGTAACTGGATCGGGAATGAAAGTAACTGTACGATTGATAACTACATCGTAGGTGAACAAAACCGATGACATTCGCATACATGTTGAATATCTGATTAGAGTACGAAAAACTAACTAGTTATAAATAGTTGGCGGCGGACTGTATATATTTACATGTAGTGTTATAACATGTCTGTGTATGTTATAATTCAAGTATAACTGGGCCCTCAACTACATCCGAAATGCATCTAGTTCGGCTGTTCAAAAGTATACGTGGACGTCTAATTAACAGATACACGCAATTTATAAATTGACGTTTAATGTATAACCTACCTGGCCCCCGCGGGAAACGTCAAACCGTTCAACGTCGACCGACTCTGGGTCGCTGGCGGCTTTCTACGTGAAAAGCCTGCGGCGGGGTCGCCGCCGAGTCGACACGACGCGAACTCACCGTAAGATTCATGGCGACGGTTGGGCGCGAATTCATCTGGGGGCGATACATGGGCGGGGAAGAAAGGTGCCCTGTTTGGGCCCCCCCTTCTCGCCCCCTCATGAATTCGCGCCCAACGACGGACCCCAAGGTGATCTCCGGAGCCGGCATCGCCGCGCCGTTGACCACGACCACTGGCATCGCACTGCCCCCGCAGGCCAGCTCCCCGGGCCTCTCCAGCTCCGCAGGCGCCACCACGCGCAGGCCGTACGGAGCGAGCCGCGCCTCGAGGAGCTGGAAGAAAGCGGTCTCTCGGGGGGCGTACTCGAAGGTCAGAACCTGGCCGCCTGTGCGAGGCGGGGCCTTATCCGTGTCCACCGCCTGGGGAACCGACGCCCTGGGACCCCTGGGGGCGGCGTGTTTGGATACAGTCGGACCTGGGACAGAAGAACATCCTTGACAAACACGAGACCCTCCGCGGGCCAAAACGCACAGAACATCCAAGAGCATCCTCCCCAGGATGCACCAGAACAGCCCACAAACACAAAGAACATCAGGGTGCCCTCCCCGAACCGAGCTAGATCTTATACCTCGGTCCGACTGTATGAAAGTGTTGGCCCCCGCGGGCCCGAATCGCCCGCCGAGGTCCCGCCGAGGAGGAGGAGGAGGAGGAGGAGGAGGACGAGGACGAGGAGAGGGAGGAGGAGGAGGAGTAAAACCCAAGAATCATCAACGATGATGGGATATAAAAAACCCTCCCTCCAAGCTCCCTCTCCATAGGCCCCTATAATAATTCATTTCCATTGAGGGAACTGCCTCGTTGGAAGATCACCGTTTGAAGACCCTGAAAGATGCCAAAACATTTTTTGGGGGATTCCAACGCCACGGGTCAACCTAACTGTTGCGTCTTGACAGTCTTGCATCCTGCATCGTGCCAGAACGCCATTCCTGGGACTTCAACACCTCGAATCAACTTAACTGTTGCACCCGCATTTTCCTGAATCCTTCCGAGACACTATTTCTTATATGTTGGCCATGGGAATCCGTGAAACACTTGCAAAGTTTACAAACGAATGTGCGCGACGCTTTGGCGAGAGCCATATTGAAAAGGAGCCGCCCTCAATGTGCAAAACTCGTGCAAAATGTATAAACAAATGTGCGCGGCGCTAAAGCGAGAAACACATGTTGAAAGCCACTCGCCCTCAATCCGTGAAACTTTAGCACATATTCAAAATGAATGTGCGCGGCGCTAGGCGGGAACCACATTTTGAAAACGGGTCGCCCTCAATCCGTGATTTGTTTCGCAATTGTTTAAGAACGAATGTGTGCTGCGCTAAGGCGAGAGCAACACTTTGGAAACGAACCGCCCTCCATATGTGAACCTGTTGCGAATTCTCAAGCTTCAAGATCATCAATGGTGAGTAAGTCTCAGGCGAAACGCCGGCCCGCCCTAACAACTGGCCTCGGGGTGCGACAGGGAGAAGTTACTGATATAAGGAAAAGGAATGGAGGAGGATGAGGTCCCTGGAGATCGATCCTCCGGGCGGTGGCCTTGTGGATAAATCCCCACCCTCGGAGCCCGGAGTGCCGCGGAGCCCCGAGGCCAGCAGCTCCACGCCGCCCCCCTCGCCCGCGTAGAGGTCCAGTGCAGAGCTCACCTCGCCCTGCCGCGCCATGCACCACGCGGCCCGGCCCAGCTTCTGGCTCGGCCGGAAGGCGTAGTGGGTCGCCTGCTCAAAGAAGCCCTCCGGCACCTGCCCCCCCTCGCCCTGCAGGCACCGCACCAAGCGCTCCCGGATGCCCCGCGCCGCGGCGCGGAAGGCGTCGTCGGTGCCCCTGCAGCAGCGCTGCGGGCTGTAGAAGGAGTCCCAGCACCCGGGCCTGCCCCAGTCCCCGCAGCAGGCCTCGCGCATCGCCCGGGCCTCCTCCGGCCCGACCAGGTCCTGCGGGGCGAGGGCGCCAAGCAGGAGGAGGAGGAGGAGCACAAGAAACAAGCTCGGGTGTCAGCGCGGAGTTCCAGGAGCGAAGCCAAGATCCAGGACACGCCGCCGTGGGGAGCCCATCAGCCAGCAGCGTGTTACTGCTGAAGACACACGGGCGGTGGGACAGGGACGAAAAAGCAACACGCTGACGGGCTAACAGCGGCAACGTTTCCCTGATACTCCTCCTCCCTCCCAAGAGCGGAGTGCCAGCGCTGACCGACCCAAGACATCCATGCGGAGCTCCGAGAGCTTATTGTCTGTCGCTTCCTGACAGGGGGGCATGATGATCCGGAAGCACCGAGATTGAAACGAAAGACCCCTCCTCGCCCTCGCTCTTCGTTTCGTTCTCCACCCTGGTTCTCTCCTGGGTGACGAACAGACGCTGCGGGCCAGCTGGCGGGCGGGGCCTCCTATCCCGATCCCAGTCGCCGTGAGCCAGTTGCCCCAGAGGCCCACGGAAATCTCATGATGTCGAGGCCTCTGGAAAAGGGACAAACGCAAAACTGCTACCTTGTTTGATGAACAACAGAAATACGCAAACACCTGAATCACTAACATGTCCACGGACGTCGATCCTCCTTCCTGCTCATCACCCGCCATTTTGCCTTTCCTCCTTCCCGGCTTCCTTCTCCTCGGGATCCTCGTCGTCCTCCTCATCTTATCCCTCCTCACCTGCCCTTCGTCCTGCTGTTGCATCCTCCCCCCCTCCCCCGTCCCCCGCTATGCCGCCACGTCTCATCCTCCTACTGCTGCTCGTCCTGATGATCCTCGCGCTCCATTATCAGCCCGCCCCCCTCTTTCCATCATCTTTCATCCTCATCGACGTCAGTAACGTTTTGGGCTCAAAAGCCCAGCCCGCCCCGACCCCGACCCCACCCCGTGCCAAGGACGGGCCGCAAGGGAGGGCCTTCACTGCCTCGAGCCTTTTGAAAAGGAAGGGAAACCTGGGACGTCCCCCCCAGGACTTGGGATGTGAATCTTCGGGGGGCCATTGTGGCGCACCCCTACCAAAACCGCCCCCCCCCCGCCCGCAACATCCCAGGCTCTGGGCCCAAACAAATTACGATTATCTCGGCTATGTGAAGACATGTGTTTCGGGGAGGCCCTCCCCCCCGGCCGGGTAGCTGGTGCCCAGCGTGATCAGGCACAGAGCTCGGATCTATGCGTGCAAGAAGGGCGGACAATGGTAGCGATCTCTGGCGCTGCCCAATGGGATTCGGGATTCGAGGTTGGACAGCTTGGACTGGCGTGTAGTGACAGTAGGCTCAGGCGCTGCTCAACTGGGGGGCGAGAGGCGAAGCTGGACCCCCTGTCATCTGGACCACCCTTCGGAAGCAAAAGAAAATACCCAGGGACGCACCGACGGGGGAAAAGATGGCCGAGACTGGGATGGCCTGAGGCTTGCGGAGGCGGACAAGAAGGATGGGAGTGTGGAGGAGACGTGGAAGAAGAGGAGGAGAAGGAGGAGAAAGATGAGAAGGACGATAACCTTTCCGGAGGAGGAGGAGGAGGAGGAGGAGGAGGAGGAGGAGGAGGAGGAGGAGGAGGACGAGGGAGGTGAGAAGGAGGTTGACCCCCTCGCGCTTCACCTTTCTACGATCCCCTCAAATTCCTCCATTTGTTTTTACTTCCCCGTCATCCTCGCCCGCCTCCCCTCCTGCACCCGAGTCACATTCGGCACTCTTCCGCCCCCCTTCCCCACCTTCTATATTTTTACCTTCGAAGCCCACCTTCGGCAGCAGTCGGGGGTTGGAGCGAAAGATCGCATGCGACGTTCTTTCCCCCGATCCTCATCGAAGCAGAGCGGCCCCAGGATGTCGGAGCCGAGGAGCACCTGCCACCCGCGGAGGCCTCCAAAGTGGAGCGCCAGAGCAGACGGCGCCAGAGAGTCGCACCGCATCGCCGACGCATCACCGATGCACCAGCACCGCTGTAAGACGAAGCCAGGACGAGGATCATTTCGAGTGGGGATATATCGAGGATCTATCAGATCTCGCGGCTCTGGAAGATGTATCAGGCGCTGCTGCCTTCTCAGAGCGTTCTGGAACGCTCTGAGAGCGTTCCAAAACGCTCTGGCACGGATTATTTTTCGTCCTAGCCCCGTCCGATGCTGGGATGGAGAGAGGCGGACTCCAGAACGCGCCGCATCGCCGATGCATCATGCAGCGCGGCGCAGCGGTGCAACCAATGACGGACCCACCCCTCATCGACATCCCAGAAGACCTTGCAGCACGGTGCTTCGCCGCACGGTTCTGGGACCCTGGAGGCCCCAGTCGTCCGAGACATCCTTGGGAACGACCCTGAGCCCCAAAACCGCGCGCCCAGCCCAGGTCCTCACTGACTCAACCGACGGTGAAGTCACCACACCATCTTTGGATTGTTTTGACAACGCGGCTCCCCAAGGAAGTCTGGACCTCTTTCGGGAAACCGGTTTTCCATCCTGGGCCCTCTCTCGACGGCCCCGCCAAAGCACCGGGGCGCCGAGAATCAGCAAAACCCTGTTCGACGTCGTGGTTGTTAGTTTCTTCACAACGTTGTGATACGTGATCCTTCGGCGGCAAATCCAACTGATACTAATTGAGTTTTCACGACGCCAAGATGTCAGGGTCCGATGGCCCCCTTTCCGCTTGCAATGCCAAGGGGCGTCACCATTGCGGCTAGCGTGGAGGAGCAGAAAGAGAAGTGGGGCGCGGGAAAGGTAGCGGAAACGTAATAGCAGCATAAAAAGGAGGAAGAAAAAGACGGAGGACGAGGGCAAACAAAACGGATAAGGACATGGATAGAGAACGAAGGGGGGAAGGAGACGGCGCAGGATGAGGGGGGGAAGCAAGCTGAAGGAGGAGGAGGAGCAAAAGGAGGAGGAGCAGAAGGAGGAGGAGCAGAAGGAGGAGGAGGAGGAGGAGGAGGAGGAGGAGGAAAGCAACTGGGGCTCAGGCCATTTTGGCGGAGCACAGGGCTCAGGCGCCGCGCCCCCCTCGCGACACTTTCTCGTGAACGCTCCCGCGGCCAGGCCCGCGGCTGAGCATCAGAGGGCGCGCGCGACACACGGCGCGCTCGGGGCGCCGCAGAGGCTCCCCCGAGCCGGCCTGGCACAAGAGGCAGCGGGCAGAGCGGGGGCGAGCTCGCCTGCTCCTCAGCGCGTTCCAGGCCAAGCGCCTCCTCGAGTCGCACCACAGCGCGATGGGAGGAGGCACGTGGACATGCAGGCAGTGTGAGACCAGGAATCCGAACTCTCTGTGAACCTGTTCTTGCGGCAACGTGTGGGCTCCTCGCCCTGACCCCACCAGACGTTCTGCCAACAGAAAGAGGGACCAGAAGAAGTCCGCCAACATCAGGGAACTGATTGCGCAGATCCCAGTGGCAGTACCTGATGAGGCGATTGCTAACATCACGGTGCGGGAACCACCGCCGCCAGAGGCGGATGAGCTGAAGATCGACAAGTCGAAGGCCCAGTCGAAGCTCCAGAAGTTTGCCAACCTCCTCGTCGCGGTTCGTGACGCAGGGAAGGAGGACCCTGCCCTGGAGTTCGACATCGGCGTGCTCAAATACAGGATGAGCGCCAGCAAGGACTCGGAGAAGCAGCTGCATGAGCTGAAGGCCCAGCTCATCAGCGCCAAGGAGAGGCTCGGCAAGATCCGAACCAAGGTCGAGGAGCTGCTGGACGAGGAGGCGACGCTCTGCCTGATGGTGCAGAAGCTGCAGAACTCCATCCAGCAGCTCCGTGAAGCGGAGGACGCGCCAGACCACGATGAGGACTGGCTGATGGCCCCGCCAGGAGGAAGCGAGCACGGCCTCAGGGCCGCCAGCAGCGCCCAGAGGCCATGGGTGCAAGCGGCGGCCGAGAGGGCGGCAGCGCAGGCAGAGGCAAAGGCTCAGTCAGCCAAAGCCGCGGCGGAGGCGATTGCGAGCAGAGCGCCGCCGCCGCCGCCGCCAATGCCCAACCAGCCACCGCAGCAGAAGTATGCAGAAGTATGTGCACCAGCCGCCTCAGAAGGCGGCCCCGCGCGCAGCCTCTGGGGCGACGCGCGGCCAGGCAGCCGCAGCAGCAGCGGTGCCGACGGCGCCGGAGCCCGCCAGCCCCCGAGGCGCCAGGCCTAAGGGCCCGCGGGGTGCAGGAGATGACGGCCCAACGGCAGCGGCCATCACAGCGATGGCGGAGCAGATGAAAGCCGCGCAGGCCCAGCAGCAGTCCATCCAGGAGCACCTCTCGAGGATGCAGACGGGCCATAACTTCCACGCTTTCGCCCTGGCCAGGGTCTTGGGGTTGGCATCGGCGCAACGGCAGGAGATGCGCTCATGGACGCGCAGACGATTCAGCAGGCACAGCGGGCAGTGATCACGGGGCCCCCGCCCCCCAGCACGAGCCCCCCTGACCATCAGGGGTTGGCGCCAGTGTGCACGCCGAGGGATGCCGCCCCGACTGCGCCAGGTTTTGGCGCAGCCCCCCAAGGCTCAGCGCCGGCCATGGGGCCGAGGGCGCCTCCCCAGAGCAGCGCGAACATGGCGAAGATCGTCCAGGACCCGCACGGAGACTCAGCACCGTCGCGCTCGGCAGAGGGCCCTGTGGCAAAGACGCCGCCACCGAAGAGGCAGTCGGCATCGCCGACGCCAGCCAGGGCCCCCAGCATTGGCGTGGCAGCCGAGACAAGGGCCCAGGCCGAGGAGAAGGAAGTCCCAGACACCCCGAAGGCAAAGGGCGTTTCCAGAGTGACAGCGGAGCTGCAGAGGAGCGAGCCCAAGGAGGAGGTCATGCCGATCGACCACGCTGTTGGTTCCGACACAGCCAATGATGGCGGAGGAAATCATTCCAGGGCCAGTGCACCTCTTGCAGCACATCCAGGGGGCCTCCATCGACTTGACCAGTCAGACGCAGCGCTCCCCCACGCCACCGCCGACGCAGCGCTCGCCTGGGTCGCCAGTGGACCCCCCCGCAGCCAGCGCCTGCGACGCTGTTTCCCCCAGCCTGGGCAGCAGCATCGTCGGCCGCAGCGCCGCGCCAGCAGGCAGCGGCAGCCCCCTCAGCGCCGGCCGCGGCGGCCTCGGCGGGACCGACGGCAGCGGCAGCGGCAGCAGCAGTGGAGGCACCTCCTGCGGCTTCGAGGACTCGACCGCTCGACGAGGGAAACAAAGAGGAGAAATTGGGGGACTCGCCCAACAGGCCCCCCCCCCCCCCCAAGAAGATGCAGTGCCAGGGGTACGAGCTGGAAGACGGGTCCAACCTGTAAGCCCTAGCAGGGTCTCTTGGGGCCCAGTCGAAGTAAAGCGGTTTGACATGCATGCACCGATAATTGTCCGACAAGCCAAGGGTGCGCTTTCTCGGACTTGTTTCACTAGGCCGATTCTTAGGTCGGCCCCTGCCTCGGATCTCTCGTCCAAGGGTCATGGTCATGAGAATTCTCAGACAAATAATACCACCTCTTCGGCCGCCACTTCAGGTGATACCATTGAGGACTCATCTTCATCTTCCAGTCGGCCCAGCGGCCGAACGAGGTATCGCTTGCGGGGCAAGACCTCGAAGGAACATCTTGTTTCAGCCTCGTCCTCGCGAATTGCAGCGTGCTGTGCCTGCTGAGCTAGGACACGAGGCCACCCAAATGAAATTACAGTTGCGGTTGCGCCAGACCCCCCTCCACCGCCGTCGCACCCCGCCCCATCCAGGGAGCAGCTCGAAGCAGTTGCTGGGGTGAGTGTGCTGGCCTTGAGGGAGGGTGGTGGGTATATCACTCCCCTGCACCTTTACCCTTTACTTTTCCAGTATCCTGCGAGCAATGGCAGTGGTCACTGTGGTTTTCAGGAGGCAGACAGGGTATATCAGGTTTTACTTCAGAGCATCAGCTGGTTTGAGCTTTGCAATGACGATTTTGGAGACATCCCTTTGCATCGCACTGCCAAGTTTGCTCTGGATATCTCAGCGCGCGGGGCACATAGAGCACGGCCAGTATATATTTATGTCGACGCCTCGTACAGGAAGACGCTCAGGGACTCGGCCTGGGCCTTCGCAGCTGTCGCGGTCTCGCCCGATGACGCGGTGAGCTTCCTCGGCTGGCAAAAAATGTGCGCGTGGGAATCCACAGCTTTGCAGTTTGAAAAGGATGATAAAACTAGCACGACTATCGAGCTCATGGGGATCTGATGGAGCTCACTCTGGATATTGGGCTTCTTCGGACCGAACACGGTGCATTCTCCCTCAACATTTGTCATTTTTTGCGACAGCCAGCCGGCTGTCAACATCTCCTTGGGTTTGGAGGTCCCGTCGGAGAACCTGCACCTGGCCTGGCTTACATTTCACGTGTACCAGTGCGCGCGCAGGAGACATGGTACGATGCTTGTGCATGTGTGCGGTCACACTAGACATCCATGGAATGAGTTGGCAGACAGTTTAGCACGATCGGACCGAGCGGTTGGGCGTTCACCCCCGCCGGCCTTGCGCGAGGCTCTCAAATACACTAACGACCTCGAGTGGTGGTGGCTTAAGGGGGCACCGTTGACCACGCGTGCTGCATATCCATCAGGCCCAGATAACTCCTTTCGGTATCCTGGGCGCCCTCAAGTTTCGGTGGAAACGCTAAAGGAGACTGTTGGCCCCCAACCCTCGCAGACGTCGGCCCCCAAATCCAGCCAGTTCAGCATCAGTTTGAGGCTCGCCACTTTCAACGTCAAGACGGGCAGGGATGCGGAGGCCACGGCTGCAAGACGCGCCAAAACGTCGGGCGAGGTTCTCAGAATGCAGTTCGCACAGAAGCGTTGTCACACTGTTGGGGCCCAGGAGGCGCGAAATCCATCGGGGGAAAGATGCTCTGCTGATTACTTTGTGCTTTCTCGGGGTCTGATAGTGGCAAGAACTTGGGCGTGGAGCTCTGGACCTCTTTGCACCTACCCTACGGGCGACGCGGGGATGAATACCTTTACTTCGAACAGAAACATTGTAGGCCGCTGTGCGCTACCCAGAGACACTTGGTGGTTGGCTGTTGTGCCCCACCCTTTCGGAAGGTCATTTTAATTGCCTATGCGCTGCACGCTGGGGGCGAGTATACCCCTCAGCAGCGGAAACAGTGGTGGCGGGACCTCATTGGGATCTGCCGCAAGTGGAAAGTTCAGTTGCCTTTCCTAGACGCGAATGCCAGGCTCGGAAGCATCGTGTCGGACGCAGTGGGAAGGGGGGGATTCAGGCAGGACGAGGACGAATCGGGAGGGCTGTTCCACGACATGCTCCTGGAGACGGGGATGGCCGCCGCCAACACACTTGTCCCCTCCCTTAGCCAGGACTCCTACACGTTCGTCGCGTCTAAGTCCGAGACCCCACATATAATCGACTATACAGCGGTCGAGCAGAGCATGATTCCCGCACTGGACCAACACCAGGTTCGATATGACATAGATTCCTTATGCACTGGCAAAGATCATCACCCTGTCTTCTTGCGCTTCGAGTCCCACGGCGGCGCAGGGGCATATTGGTTTTGACGTGTTGGGCCCACAGGACCCTGATAAGGCAGCAGCTTTCAGGGCGCACTTGGCAGGTTTCCCCGCGGTGCCCCACCAGGTCGACATGAACCAGCACTTGCACGACATTATCCAATACATGTACGTGGGTGCCCAAACTTGCTTCCCTAAGCCTGCGCGGGTCCCGATCAAGCCGTGCGTATCTCAGGATCTTCTTGGGGTTATTATCTTCAGGAGGCAGGTGCGACAGGCATGGCGTCTCTGGGGCAAGCAGGACCCTTGCGGTGTTAGGAGGCTGGTCGCCACGTCGCTCGAGGCGGGGGCCCCCCATAACATCGCAGATCTCGAGTTTGACTTCTCGGTTTCGGAGCTTTTTCAGGCCTTCGTCCCATGGGAAACTCAGAGGATGACAGGATGACGGCGAGCAAGCTCGCCGAGCACATGCTTGGTTTCTTGGTCAAGTCGGAGCCGGCCTTGAGAAGGGCCTCGAAGCACTCTCGCAATAAGCTGCTAGACGACCTCGCGCAGCAAATGTGCAGCGCCAAGTCTTCCCACGAGAGTCGCGTGGAATGGAAGGTGTTGTACCAGCTGCAAAGATTCGGGGGAAAGCGCTCCAAGTTCCAGGTCGAGGGGTTGAGAATCCGCCGTGGTCCTCAGGGCGAAGTTCTGGCCACTTCTGGAGATCTCTCGGAGGCCCCCACGGACTACTTTGCTGTAGTCGAGAACGGGCAGACACTCAGCTGGGAGGAATTAGTGGACCGCTACAATGCCCTCCCCGAGCGTGGTAACGTCTACCCCAGGGAGTTGGACATGATCACCCCCTCTCGCAGACTCAAGCATGACATCATGAAGGCAGCCAAGAGGAGAGGAGCTGGACCAAACGGGCTCAGCAACGATCTCTTCCAAGTCGCTCCACAAGAGTGAACTCAGATATTGTTGCCGCTGTTCGTGAAGATAGATATGGCGTCCAGGGAGCCCCTGCTGTCCAAAGGAGGTTGGCAATGCGATCTACACAAATCTGGATCCCCTGAACCCCTGGTCCACTATAGAGGCATCCTGCTAGGATGTCACACGGCGAAGTGGCACCATGCCTTCCTCAGGAGCAAATTGCTAGATGCATCGTTGCACATGTTGTCGGTGGTCCAGCAGGGAGGTCCCCCTCAGCGTGGCACTGACATTGCATCCTTGCACCTTCGATCGGCCATGCTGGCAGCCAAAGCTAGGAAGCGCGCAGACCTGTCGTTGTACACTGATTTGAAGGCGGCATTCTACTCGGTCATTCGAGGGCTTGTCGCCAGAATACCCCAGGACAGCGAGGACATTCAGAACACGCTGACGGACTTGGAGGTGCCAAGATGTCTCGAGCCACTTTGCCATGCCCTCGTCGCCAAGCCTGGCGCCCTGGACGCGCTCGAAAATAAGCACCTCCTGGAAGCAGTGGTAGACGTGATGGAGTGTAACTGGTTCCAAGTACGGGGGAGCACTAGGGTTGTTGCCCCCCGCCTAGGCACGAGGCCAGGCATGCCATTAGCGGACCTCCTGTTCATCATAGCTTTCGACCCTATCATAGTTGCTGTCAATAATAGACTAGGCGCTCTGGGGTATCTCCAGAAGACCAGGGATGTGGACCCGTCTCAGAGAATCTTCAGAGGTCGAGAGCACGAGCATGCAGAAGAGGATGTATGGGACCCTGCCTTCATGGATGACCTCGTCAATGGCATCGAGCTGTTAGGCGCTAGGCTCTGGAAGGAGGCGGCCATTTCCCCTGTTACGATAATGTACGAAAGAACCAAGTCTAGGGGGTTCACCATGAACTGGAAGGCGGGCAAGACGGAGCTCATGGCCTTCTTCAGCGGCACAGGCCCCAGGAAGGCCCGATGGGGAGTGTGCGGCCCTGGCCGCCATAGGTCTCCTCGCTCCTTCCTTAGGCGTCTCCCTGTGCCTCACTAGGACCTATAAGCACTTGGGCAGCTATCAGGACCATCAAATCTCTTTGGGACCCGAACTGGCACACCGATGCCATCGGCAGCGACGTCCTCTCGGGGTACTGGGGCGCACGGTTTTCCCTAGAAAGCAAGTCAATTTAAAAGCCAGGCTAATTTATGTTACCTCTTTATGCACTTCGCACCTTCTGCTTAACGCCCTTACTTGGCACAAGCTAAGTGTTCAACAGATGACGACCCTGGCGCACAATTATTTGAGCCCGTTTCGGTTGGCGGCTGGGCTCGGCTACGATTCTACTTCAGGATTGGCGGCTGCGGACCACAGGGTCTATGTCACATACGAGATCATGCCCATTGAGCTGGTGTTGAGGCTTAGGCGGCTGCGATTTCTCCCCGGGCTTCTCAAGTCGGCGCCGGCTTGCTTGCTGGCGATCCTTGACGAGTTAGCATCAGTGCCCGAATCGTGGTCCGCATTGTGCTGCGATGACCTCTTGTGGCTCAGCAGACATGTGAATCTAGCCAGAGAGTTCCAGCCCTCAGGGCCCCCTGCGTGGTGGCTGTGGCTCCTGAGGTCTAGCAGTAAAAAGCTTTGGAAGCGAATTTGCAAGCGAGCGGGATCTGCAGCTAGAGCTAAGTTTTTGGACGATCAGCGTCACGAAGAATTCAGATGGGTGGCGGAGGTGCTGCATCTCCAAGGGTCTTGCGCCCCCGCCGTTGCTTCGTTCGCCGTCGGCCCTTGCCTTGTATCCTTGCCTGGATTGTGGGGCGGTGTTGGCCACCAAGGGCGCATGGGCTCCCCATATTTCGAAGTGCCACCCCCACTTAGACCCCGCCCCCAGCTACGCGTCAGGCACCGTGTGCATGGCATGCGGACTCAACTTTCACACGCGCCTCAGATTGCTCAGACACGTTCGGCGTGGCTCGTCGAGGTGCCTGGCGGATCTCATGGCCGTTCTCCCCCCGTCGAGCCCCGAACGCGCGTTCCAGGCTAGGGCCGAGGACGCGGAGCTAGCTCGCATGCTCCGTGGGAAAGGCCACTATGCGGAGTCAGCTCAGCTGCCGCCTGCCCTCACGGTAGGCCCTTGGCTGAGGGGGGCGGCTGCTTCCAAGGGCCTTCCCTCAAGCACGCCGAGGATATCCTGTCGACCCGCGTGTATCCAGGAAGAGGTACCCACTCAGGCGGTAGTTCACCTGCCCGCGCCCCCTGGCACTAAGTGCATTATGATCCTCCGTGCAGCTCCTAGGAGTCAAGGCGACATCCAGGATAGAGCGGAGAGTTCCAGTGCCACGGCGGGGATGAATGTTTTTGTTCTGTCATTCAATATCCTCGAACTTTTCCAGAATTGCATCGAGGGGTGTCATGCGGAGCTGTTGTTCATTGCCAATGTAATCCTGTCTGGCCGTGTTGTTGGTCTCTTGGCATACCTCCCTCTTACCTCGTGGGGCCCCGCCCCCCGCTGCAAAGCCAGGGGGGGGGGGGGGGGGGGGCGGGCCTGTCGTGGGGCATCGATGAGCCGCGGGGGATTTCAGGTAGGTCGCCTTCGGAGTGGAGGCAGCTAGAGCTCGACAATGCGTGCCTTCGGGCGGCGCTGACGCTGGCGCTGTGCGCGGCGTCCTCGGGCCTGGCGACCATGCTCACTTTAAACCCACCTACTCCGCAAGCCCATATGCACTGTATTTGGAAAGTCCCCGAGGTCTGGTTTCTGCGCTCCCTGTCGGCACTGTCTCCGACGCTCACGTCGAGCTGTGTGCCTATCGGGGACCGTCAGTGCCTGTTCTTGAATGCCGCGCCGACTTTGGCCCCTCCTCCTGACAGCAGCCTGGCTGCGTTCTACCTCGCTGCTGTTATCACCCAGGCCGCCTCGCAACGCTGTGCCCCCACGCCTCCTGGGGATGCATGGTTAGATGCGTCAGCTGCCCATCTCTATGCCCCGCTGGATCCATTTTGCGAGTCGGGTTGATGTTGGCCATTGTTGCTCTCCTTGTCCCCCGCTATACTTGCCGCCTTCTCACCGCTGGCGCATGCATGAGTGGGCACCTCAGACGTTGGTCTTCAGGGCTGCGGGAAGAAGAAGGAGGAGGATGGGGGAGGAGGAAGGAAGGAGGGAAGAAGTGCCAACAAACTAGTTAGGACGAGGACGAAGACTCTCCCGCGAGAGAGCGGCATCCGCGCGGGCGCGCGGCACGCGCGCGCTCGAGCAGCCGCGAAAGCACCGGGGGTCGACGCGCGCGCGAAACGAGCGGCACCGCTCAGGCGGACTAGGTCACGCCTGGTCGCCCGAAAAGGCGAACTCGCAGCGCCGCAGGTCTCAGACATTGGGAAAGAGGGGGGCGGGGGCGAGAAGCCGCAGAGGCTGCCGAAGCGCCGCGAGGACGATAAAAAACGAAATTATCCCAATCGCGCGCGAGCAGCTCCGAAAGCGCCCGGAACCGACGCGCGCGCGAACCGAGCGGCACCGCCCAGGCGGATGAGGTCACGCCTGGTCGCCTGAGAGGGCGAATTCGCCGATCCCACGCTGAAGGACCATGCGAAGTGACAAGGCCTTGGTGGGCGGCCCCGACTAACACGGATCACTCGAAGGGATTCGCATCCAAACAGGTAGCGACAAGGCGGTCGCTGGCAGTAGCGGAGAAAGCTACTTAGGCACGCGCGGCCTCAGGGAGGGCGACCAGGTCGTTGGTGGCGGCGGCAGCCGAGCCTCGCAGGCGAGGGCGGCAGGGCGCCGCCAGCAGACCGTTGGCAGACAGGCACGCCCAAGGCCCTCAGCAAATGATTCCACCGAGCACGGCAGCCGCCATGCCCAAACGGGGCGAGAGGATCGGCGGGGCTCAAACCACCCCAGACCTTTTCCCAAATCCGGAAAGCCGAACTGTCCGAACAGCGCGCGCGCTCGTGCCGGACGGGCCCAGAAGACGTCGGCGCCAGACGCGCATCCACCTCCCCCCCCATCCGCGTCCGGGCGGTCGCTCGGCAGCGACAGGTCACCACGGCACACGGGCAATAATTCCCATGGCCTCATGAACATCGTAAACCCCGCGCGCAGCGGGGCTGCCGTAACGCGCCAATGTCGTGAGAAGCATGAGCCCGCCGTCGCACGCAGAAGGGCGCGGGGTCGGCGCGTCGAGGCTTCCACCTCGGAGTGGAGACCGTGCCCGCTGGCGGCGAGAAGGACTTCGCTGGGGCGGCCCATGCCAACCGAAGAAGTCGACCTGGAAGTGGCCTCGCTGCGCGCCGCAAGCGGAAACGATGCCGGAGCGGACGCTGCCCGCCAAGGACGCCAGCGCGGCGCGGGTCGAATAACCGAAGCACACCTGGATTACGGCGAGCCTGCAGAGGGCGGCCGTCAGCGCCAGGGGCGCGCAGACGATGCCGATCCTGCCTTCGATTTCGGCCTCGCAAGCGGCTTCCTACATGGGGGGGCGCCAGGGCGAGGAGCGGCGCTAGATCATGAAAGCTTTTGGTGCCCCGTGTGGTCGTCGATGTTCAAAACCCAGACGAAATGGCCTCGGGGGAACGGAGCGCGATGCGTCGCTTGCTCTGCGGGTGGAGAGCTCCGAAGCTCTTCAGCACCCCTTCGTGAGCCGCATTGGAGATCTCCACGGCCGCGTTGTCGCCCGTGGCAAATGCATCAAACGCGGTGAAACGTCGAGCCCAGCCAGCTCGGGGCGCCACCTGCGAAAGGCCATAAGACGATCGCCGGAGAGGCGAACTCGCGCAGCATTCCGCTGAGCGCGGGCTGGAGGCACCCGAAATGCGCAGTAGAACTCGCGCAGGTCGCCGCGTGACACAACTAGCCACTCGCCTGGGGCGAGGCCCATGCGGCAGAGCAGGAAGCCCTGGCCAAGGCGCTGCGCGCTGGGGGGGTGCTCTGACAGCGACTGTTCACCACCGCGGGATTGAAAACCAATCGATCAAAATCGCCGTCCTCGGGGGCCCGGAATGCACCGCGCGCCTCGCCCCCGGCGAGGTCCGAGGAAGGTGTCATGCTCAAGGCGCCGCAGGAGTCCCACTTCCGAAGAAGCCCCCGCAGCTCGGCGCGGTCCACGCGGGCGCGCGCCCCCCTCTGGCTCGGGGGCCAGTCTGTCGACGGGAGGCGCGCGGCCCCTGGGTCGCGAAAAACTCCGCGGACCCTGGCGTCGGACAGGCGCGTAGTGGGATCGAAGGGTGGCGAGTGGTCCCGCTTGACGCGAGAGGCCCCGATCTTGCGATCGCATGGCCTACACCGGGCGGAGTTCCAGCCCGCGATGGAAACGCGCCGACCGGGCAAGCCCGCGCGCGGGCGGGCGCGGCGGAGGAGAGGGGCATGGAAGCCTCCATAGCAACGACATGGGTCGCCAGGTCCTCGAGCGAGACTTCCGCAGAGTCGAACTCGATAAAAGCGCGACCCAAGTCGCTCTTGCCACCGCGGGCAAGGCGAACTGCGATCCAGCACAAACACTCGATGCGATTGCGCATGTCCTCCCGGTGGGGCGTAGACGTCGCGCGCGCTCGAGCTTCGGAAGGGGCGAAGCTAGGCTTACCGAGGGTCAGCCGATTCAGGGTAGCACGTCGCGTCGGAGCGAGCACGGCGCGCCTCGCGCGCCAGCGCCCCGGCGCGCGACCCGACGACGCAGCGTCGGGCGGCGGCGGAAGGTCAAGCGGGGGGGGCGCGGTCAGGGATCGCGGGGCAACTCGCAAGAAGGGAGATCGCACCGAGGCGACGCGCGCAGAGAGGATCGGGTGAAAGAAGACAGGGAGCAGCGAGCACCCATCCCAACCTGAGGTAGCGCGGCTGCCCAGCGGGCGACGTCGATGCTCGCGCCTGGAAAAAGGCGCAGCAAGGCAGAAAGGTCCGCGACGAAGGGCGCGGCCTTCGCAGGGAGTGGTGCGGCGCCGGCAGGCGCAGGCGCCCCCGGATCGAAATCTCCCGCGGACGGGTTAACGCGGGAGGCTTCGGAACTGGCGGAGACCCCAGGGGACAAGTCAACCCGAGAGGCCTCGGGCGCGGCGGCGCCCCCTGAGGACAAGTCAACTCGAGGGGGTTTACCAATGGCAGCAAAACGGTAGCAGCGAAGGGCGGCGCGCCTGGACCCCCGAAGGCCGGGGCCTCGGCGGCGCGGTGAAACTGGCCCAGGTGAACAAGCGACCCCAGGGGGGGGCTTCGAACCGAGCGAGAGACGCGACAGCGGAACGAACTTTCCCCTGCGGGGCCGCAACAGCAACGCTGAAGGAGCGCACTCCTATTTTCGCGGCGCCGCTCAGCCCAGGCGCGCCTCGCAGCGGCAGCGGCAGCGGCATTGTCTGCGGCGACTCGCCGCGACTGCGCCCCTCCGCAGTCGCGCGCCAGCCGCGCGCGAGCAGCCCTCGCCCAGGGCGAGATGCCCGCGAGATCCCAGCCGCGCGCCCCGGCTGCAAGGGCCCCCGTGACAGCGTGAGCGCCAACTCTGGGAGCGGCGGTGGAAGCGGCGGGACCTCGGCCTCGCGCCCCGCCGCGGCGGCGGCGGGCGCCCCGCAGACGGCGAGACTCGGCGAGGGCGGCGCCGAACGGTTGCGCCGAGAGGCGACCCGCCTGGGCCAGCGAAGCCTACGTCGGCCCGGGCGCCGCGCAAGGTGGGGCCCCGTGGACAGGGCGCGCCCCCCCGATCGACCGGCCCTCGACGGCGCGAGCTCCGCCCTGCGGCGGCGCGGCGCCCTCGCTGGAGGCGCGCGCGCCAACCAAAGGAGCCGTCGACCGGAGAATCGGCCGCATGGCGGGCGCTGGGGCCGCGGGGCGGATCCGCGGTGATGATAGTCGCGGCTGACGGCGCCTGATTGTCCGCGGGCTCGCCCGGCGCCGGAAGGTCGTGGCCGCGAGGAAGAGGGCGCGAATCAGTTGGCGCGCTGGTCGTGAGGGACGCGGAGGCAGCTCTCAACGCGTCGCGCGCGCGGAGAGCTGAAGGGCGACCGACGCGCGCGAATGCCGCTCCGTGCCGAGCGCAGCGAGCGCCCGCGCCTGCTGGGATAGAATCGCCCGGGCCCGGCGCGTCGACTCCGCGCGGAGGGCGAGTCAACGCCCCGAGCCAGGTCAGGTCCTCTGTCCAACAGGCGTCGGGGGTAGCGGGTAGAGCCCGGCTGCATGCGCAGGGGCCGCGGTCGAGCCACTCGACGCGACCTCCCCCCCCGGCCGCAATGCGCGGCGGCGGCGGGCGAGGCGGCCGCGCGGAGGGCAGCCGGTGCGAGAGCTGCCCGAGAAACGGCGGCATCGTCGGCGGGCGCTGTCGCATGGCGGGGCCAGCAGCGGCGAGGAAGGGGGCCGAGTAGCCCGAGCGGCTGCGGAACGTCGCGGGCGCCCAGACGCAGCAACGGATCTCCAGCGGCTGACGGGCCGACGCCGTCGGCGAGGGCACTAGGCAGCGAGAGCCCGACGGGATCGCCGAACCAGGCGAAGTCACAGGCACCTTTCCCCTCTGGTCCAGATCCTTCATTTTCTCAAGTGCAGCGTTTGACTTGAAAAAAAACAAGTGCACTGCAGTTGTTTATTAATTAATGCATTGTGTTGCATTTGCCTTGAGTTGCGCAAGATATTTGCATGATATTGCTTACATAACATATGTTTTTGTATGTGTTTGTACTTTTTGCTCGATTGCTGATCTTGCCTTCTGCCGCTGCCGCTTGGCTTCCGCCGCGCCCGCGCGCGCGGCCGCGGCGCCGCAGCGGCGCGGCGAGGAGGCCTCGAGGAGGCCAGAGGCGCCGAGGCGGCGCAGGCGGCAGGCGGCGCAGAGGCGGCAGGCGGCGCCAGGAGGCGGCAGGCGGCGCCAGGAGGCGGCAGGCGGCAGGCGGCGCCAGGCGGCGCCAGGAGGCGGCAGGAGGCGGCAGGCGGCGCCAGGAGGTCGGCGCCAGGAGGCGGCACGCGGCGCCAGGCGGCGCCAGGAGGCGCAGGCGGAGGAGGCGCAGGCGGAGGAGGCACAGGCGGAGGCGCAGGCGGAGCAGGCGCATGCCGCCGCCGAAGCGCGAGGCACGGGCATTGGAACAGAACCTAACCAAACCTAACCCCCAAACCTAACGCACACAACAAACAGAAACAACGAAAACGTGAAATCTCCTGGATCACCAGGCTACTACGCCTGAGCAGCATCGGATTCCTGTGGGTAAGTGTTGGCGCAGTTGCTCTCGGGCCTGGAGGAAAAGAGAAATCGTTGCCATCGTGATCAGGAACGTACGCACCGTTTTCTTCGACAACAAATTGTACGAGGGGTAGAAAACATGTTTTTGATCACGATGGCAACGTCTTTTCTTTTCCTCTATCCTAGGTCAGCGATTTTGATGTTTTGGTCGTTGGGCCAAACGACCCCCGCGACGAGTTAGAGTACCTCTGAGGCCATCGGATCTTCTGAAAATAACAACAATGGTAAGAGGAGAGCCGGTGGGAACCAGGAAAGAGGAGGAGAAGGAGGAGGAGGAGGAGGAGAAGAGGAGGGGAGAGGGAGGCTGAGGAGGCGATGAGCAGGAGAGGAGGACAAGGAGGAGGAGGAGGAGGAGGAGGAGGAGGAGAAGGTGGAGGAGGAGGAGGAGGAGGAGGAGGAGGAGGGCGCTGTCGCTCGAGCTCCGGTGAACCCCTTTAGCGCCTCGCATTTCCAGCGCGTTGGAAACGCGTTGGAAATGCGATGGAATCCGTTGGAGGCGGAGTCCGCCGCGGAGCCGAGGGAGAGCTGCTTCAACAACGCGGCGAAGCTCCAGGAGGTCTGGGCCCCGTTCGCCAACGTGTTCAACGCGTTGGACTACGCAGAGAAGGTCACTGGCCAGAAAGATCACAAGGTGATCGCACATCACGCCGACCTCCTCAGGGCCACGCGCGCCCTGGGGAGGTCCAACGTGAACCAGGAGGCGGCCAAGGCTCGAACGGCAAGGAGGAGGAGGAGGAGGAGGAACAGGAGGAGGAGGAGGAGGAGGAGGAGGAGGAGGGGCAGGAGGAGGAGGAGGGGGAGGGAGGGAGGAGGGAGGAGGGGAAGGAGGAGGAGGGGCAGGAGGAGGAGGAGGAGGGGGAGGAGGGGCAGGAGGAGAAGGGGGGGGAGGATGAGGAGTGGGAGGAGGGATGAGGAGTGGGAGGAGGGATGAGGAGCGGGAGGAGGGATGAGGAGGAGGAGGAGGAGGAGGAGGAGGAGGAGGAGGAGGAGCTGAGAAGCAGCAGCAGGAGGAGGGGTAGGAGAGGAGGAGGAACAGGAAAGTGGAGGAGTCCCACCCCCGCAGCGAAGGCAGCGCTGTTGGCGATCGCCCGCTCCAAGGAGAGCGAATGGCACCTCGCCAACGAAGTGGAGCACTGGGCAGTTTCGCGCAGCCGCAGGGTTCGCGCGATGCTCAGTCACGTGAGGGACGCGCTGACGCCGCGCGAGGGGAGGAGGCGCATGGGGTTCAAATGCAGGGAGGGGAGGAGACGGTAGGACGAAAGGGGGAGAGAGGAGAGGGGGGATGAGGGGGGAGAGGGAGGAGGAGGGAGGAGAGGTAGGAGGAAGGAGGAGGAGAGAGGATGTCAGTTTCTCTCAATTTCCAGCTCAGCTCAACCTCCAGCTATCCTCTTCCCTGTCCTCTGCCGTCCCGATCGCACCCGCCCGAACCCCTCTCCTGGGAGAGGGAATCGAGGGGGTAGATTTTCAAAACCCACTGTCAGGCCGCCAAAGTGGGCCGCGGCGTTCCTGGAGGAGGAAGACCAGCAGGAGGAGCACCAGCAGCAGCAGCGGCCCAAGATGGCCGCCAAGGACGAGCGCGCGCTTCCGATTCTCGAGGAGGTCGGGGAGTGGCAGTTCGGCTACGACGAGTCGATGAAGGCCAATGGGGGAGGGCGAGAGAGGGGGGGATGAGCGGAAGAGGAGAGGAGGAGGAGGAGGAGGAGAATGAGGAGGAGGAGAAGGAGGATGAGGAGGATGAATGCGACGATGACGAGGAACAACGGAGAGTCTCGAGAAAGAGCAGATGGGGGAGAGAACAATGATGTGAGGTAGGATACGGGAGAGGAGATCAGATGGAAAAGGGGGGTGAGGAAAAGGGGGTTGAGGAGGAAGAGGAGGAGGAAGATGAGGAGGAGGAGGAGGAGGATCAAGAGGAGGAGGAGGAGGAGGAGGAGGAGGAGGAGCAGGAGCAGGAGCAAGAGGAGGATGATGACGAGGAGGAGGAGGAGAAGGAGGAGAAGGAGGAGGAGGAGGAGGAGGCGGAGGAGAGGGATGATCGAGGACGCAAAGGAGGAGAGGAGAGAGTCTATCGTAGCCGCAGGCCGCCTGGAGGATCAAGAAGGGCTCGGCCAAGTCTGCGCTGCCCGAGTACACGCCTGCGAAGGTGGTCGCAGGCGAGGAGCTGCTGATCGCGACCTGGCCCTGCGGCGCAAGCTGGAAGGTCATCGGCAGCAGCGCCGAGGAGGAGGCTGCGTTGCAGAGGGCAGCCATTGGCCAATTCACGCTGCGTGATATTCACGGCGACAACGGCAGGGTGCTTTGGTCGTTGCGCTTGGTGAATCACGCCAAGCGTGGATCGTGGCTGGTGGTCTGGCGCATGCAGCCTGGGGGCAAGCGTTTCGAGCAGTTCATGCAGATGACAGGGTACGAGAGGCTCGAGGACGCGAAGACCTGCATGCTGAAGATCCTCGCCGATCTCCACGATGGCACGCTTGACAAGGCGGCGGCGGAGGAGGCCAAAAAGGAGCACCTGAAAACGAACAGGGCGAAAGGTGCTGCAGTTCTCAAGAGGCCAGGCGCAGCTCAGAAGAGACCTGCTGCGGCTGAGGCTTCGCGAGGAGGCGCCGAGAAGGACGGCGAGGTAAAGAAGGAGGAGGAAGAGGAGGAGGACGACAAAGTAAAGAAGGAGGAGGAGGAGGAGGAGGAGGAGGGCAGCGCCGCAGGAGCAGACGACGCCAGCGAGGGCAACGGCAGCGAGGCTGAGGAGAAGGGCCAGGGCGACGAAGATGAGGGCGAGGATGAGGAGGAGGAGGAAGAGTCCGAAGAAGAAGGCCGGAACGGCCCTGAGGGAGACGAGGAGCCCGCGATCACCGAGGTGAAGACGAGGCAGAGCCGCAAGAGGCAGGTGCCGACGCCAGCTGAGATGCCGCGGCCCAAGGCGTCGAAGCCTGCCACGGCGCCGCCAGAGGAGGGCCAGGCCGTTCGGAGGAGGCCGTCGGCAAAGAGCTCAGGAGGAGCCGCCGCGCTGGCGGGCCAGCAGGCCGCTCGGGGGGAGCAGCCGCGTTCGCCAGGAGGCTCTGAGGGCGGCGGCTCTGAGGGGGAGCCCGCGCCCGGGGAGAGCCTGCTGGATTGCTGCTGAGTGCGAGCGCGCAGCAGCACCTTGGAGCGCAGTCTGGCGCCTGAGGTTCTTTTGAAAAGGTTGAGGGTGCTCGAGGGGAGAATGGCGAGAAGGGCGAGGAGAGACGTAGGGGTGGAGGAAGGAGGAAGTCGATCAGAGCAAGCCGAAGAGGGAGGGTTGAGGGAAGGCGACTGAGGAAGTGAGAGGCGAGATAAGGAGGGCGGAAGGAACAGAGATGAGCGAGGGAAAAACGACCGATGACGACAGCATGACGGGGGACCACAGGAGCGCCTAGGCTCAGGGGGGTGGGCGGGGAGAAAGTGACGAAGTTCTCGAGGTCGGTGATATTTTCGCCTGGGCGGAGGGGCGCGGGGCCCCACCCGCTTCATCTCCTCCTCGTCCTCTGCGTTCTCCAAAACATCTTCCTCTTCCTCCTCAATATCCTACTCCACCCCTCGTTATCCTCACTATCCTGTGCCATCCTCTTCGGCCCTCCCCGTGCACATCGTCCCTGACTTCACCGTGGCTTTCGTTCCCATTGTTTTTGGTTTCGAACCTCAGATCCATTTCATTCAGCTCGAGCGAGATGCCCAAGGTGTTAGCGGGAGGGCCTCCGACTAAGAAATTCTGGGCTACACCGATCGGTCGACTGCTCGCCATGCCGTCGCAAGAGACCACCGCATCATCCATGGCCAGCTTCTCGGAGCCGCCTGACGCGTGCCCTAGAGACACGCAGGGGCTCGATCGCGCCAGCAAGCTCACGCGCTGGGCCTTGAGGCGGCAGGAATATGAGGCGGAGAATCAGGCAGCCCTCGCATCGGCACTGGCTGAGGAGGCCGCGAGGGAGGCAGCAGCAGATGGAGAGGAAACGCCTGGAGAGGATGAGCACGAGGAGCGCGCGGGAGCAGGGGCTGCAGAGGAGGAGGAGGATGAGGAGGAGGAGGAGAAGGAGGTCGCCACGGCAGAGGCAGCAGCAGCAGGAGAGGCTCGCGCTGAGGCAGAAGTTGCACCGATGGAAGTGGATGGCGCCGACCTCGAGCCGACGCAGCAGACGGCAGCCAAAGGTGGCGGGGAGGCAGCGCCAGCTGGGAAGCGCAGCAGTGCAGTCAATGACACAGAGCAAGCGAAAAGGCTGCGCACTTCGCTGGACATCCCCTCATCACCAGAATGCATTCCTCTAGACGGACCCTCGACTGCCGAGAAGGCGGAGGACACGCAAGTGGAGTCAGTTCACTCGGATGACGACAGGCCCGCAGAGCAGGAGCGCGTCTGCGGCGATGACACCGAGGAAGACATAGAGAAGGCGATCCTCCACAGCCAGAACACAGCGCAGCAGGACGAGGCAAAGAGGCTGGAGAGAGAGGAGGAAGAGGCGAGACTTGCGATTGCCGCTTCGCTCGAGCAATACAAAAAGAAGTACGGCCACAGCCCGAGTCCAGAGCGCACCAATTCCCCTGGCAGAGCTTCCAAGGATCGCGGCAGGCAGGCATCGGCGGCACGGCCGAGGCCAAGGCCGCCGCTGCCGCCGCCGCCGCCGCCACCGCCGCGGAGGTCGCCAGAGAGGTCGCCGCGAGGAACCGACCTGGACAAGCAGAATGAGGAGATGACCAGCGCGTTCGCCGCAGCAGCAGGAGAGGATACCATCCCGTACGCGCCGATCACGCCGCAGAGGGCCTTGCAGGCGGAGTGCCAGGCCGGCGGTGTGAAACGGGGGGAGGGAGGCGGGTGCAGGACGACTGTCAACATCCATTTCGGATCGAATCGGATCGAGTCGGGATCGAGCCAACATCGAGTTCGAGTCGAGATCGAATCAAGAACAATCGAGTACACTCCGCTCGAATGGAGATCGGTTCTCTGCTGCTTCCTCATGTCTCCTCGCCCTCTGCACGCTTGCTGCATAAGAAAGAAAGTCGCCTGCTGCGTGGTGGATCGGTTGGGCCCTGGAAGTGCGGATGGGCACCTGCATGGGGGGGGAGGTTGGGGGAGACGGGGGGGGAGTGAGGGGAGGAGTGCATTAGGTAGGAGGAGAGGGAGGTGGATTATAAGGATGGATGAGGAAAGAGGGGAGGAGGCGACGAGATGAGGTCGGCAATCAACAATCCCCCAGAGGCCACCAAGGCGAAGGTTGTGGTGGCAGCGCCCGTCTCTGATTCCGACTCCGACAACGCCCCTCTTCGCCCTGCCAAATCGACATCGTGCGCTGCACCTCCTTCGAGAGCGGGGACTCCTGATGAGACGCCGCCTAAGGTGTCGCGCCGCCAGAAGGCGATGTCCGAGGTCGAGGGCGCGGCGGGGGCAGTGGAGGACACTGAAGGGATAACGGATAACATAGGACACAATATGAACTGGAGAAGCTGAGGATGGAACCAGGGAGTAGGAGAGGCTGAGATTGAAGACCTTGTAGGGGGATAATGCACCTTTGCAGGCCGCAACCATAACCACTGGAAACCATAGAGGCCCCGTAAGCAGACTCATCTCCGACCAGATGCCAGTATGATAATTTACAATGACAAAAAAAAGCAGTGTCACGTACATATATGTTTACAGCCCCCGAGCGCCCCAATTCAATCCCAATGCAATTCCAACGCAATTCCAATGCACTTCCAACGCAAATCCAACGCAATTCCAACGCAATTCCAACGCAAATCCAACGCAAATCCAACGCAATTCCAACGCAATTCCAACGCAATCCCAACGCAAATCCAACGCAATTCCAATGCACATGCACGTGTAATATTACTGCAATTACGTAGCAGCCCACATGCATGTTCAGTTAAATTGAAATGGCAGACTGGCGCAAAGCGTGCTAGCAAGTGAGGGTGAGTCTCGCAGCCAGGGAGTTTAGACCCTTTCCAGTTCCCGACAGAAACTCATCGACTCGCAGCAAGACTTTGATGAGAACGCAAAGTACAAGATTGCGAAGGAGATGCTGGAGCTCTTCCGTGGAGACTTATTCAAGAACTTGCTTGAACTGAAGGGGTTCTCTTTACAGAAGGCGCCAGAGTGGCCAGATGATCCTGAGAAAGCTGGCATGGAGATTGGCATGCAATCGCAGATCGACAAGTTGAGCGAGAAAGATCGTAAGGAGTACGACTTCTGGGCCTCAGTCAGAGACGCAGGATTCAAGATCACGACGGACGGCAAGGTGAATCCACAACAAGCGGGGCGCTGGCAACGCGCCCTGCAGTGCCCGAAGCGGCGCAAAGCATACGAGGCGACCATCGGCAGAGCTGCAAAGGATGAGTTTCGGAAGAAGTGGGCGATGGACACCCACGCGACCGTGACTCGGAACCTTGTGAAGATCACGGAGGAAACGAGGACCCAGTGGAAGGAATCGAGCTACCTCCCCATTGGGAGGATAGCGCATCTAGAGGGAGGAGGGAAAGTTGGCTGGGCGAACGTGAACAGCTGATCATCTAGTGCGCCTTCACGTCATTTTTTTTGTTTTTGTTTTTTTGTTCGGAGGGGCATGGGACGTCTTGGGCGGGGGTGTATTGGCCCATTCGATTGAAAATGCTGTCCGTCATCCGAGTGGTGTGAAAGCTAGTGCCATGACTGTTCCGAATTGCCAGCCAGGCAAGCAAGTACATGATCAAATGCATGGCGATGGGCCCCCCATGGGTCATCTACGACGAGTGGACTGAATCATTACGGGGATTATACGTGGTCAGCGGCCTGCGCGAGACTTTCTCGACGTCGTGGAGGGAGCACGTGGAATGGTCTGAGAAGCCCGACGAGGAGAGGAGCGCCGAAGGAGGTTCCGCTGCTGAGGAAGGTGCTGGCAAATGTGCTGGCAACGACGGCAACCCGAGCGGCGGCGGCACAGGTGCTGGCACTGGCGCTGGAAAGCGCGGGCGCAAAGGCAAAGGCGAGGGCAATCCAGGAGGAGGCGGCGGAGGAGCTGGCGGCACGCTGGCGGAGGGTCAGCCTGCGCCTGAGACCCCAATCGAGCCTTCGTCTACAGTCGACAAGAAGAAGAAGACCCCGCTCCAGCTGAGGATCGTCGAGGCCCGCACTGTCATCGCAGCGTACAGTACCCTATCTGCACAGACCAATACGCTCCTGGCCGCGATCGATCGGAACCCGAATTGGTCAGGTCTGAATCCAGATGTGCTGAAGGCCAGCGCAGCTGCAATGAGGGACAAGCACACAAACCTTGAGAGCAAGGTCAGTGAGGACCCCCTTGTCGCACAGGCCATGTTCGAGAACCTTGCGACCTTGCAGAAGCGAGTGCCTGAGAAGGACATGTGGTCCCTGATGCAGAAAGTACTCGATGTCAAGCCGTTCCTGGGGGAGCTCGAGAGCGAGGTCCAGCAGGTCATGGACATGTCCCGCGTGAAGCGTGAGAGGGATGCTAAGGCGCAGGCTGACGCTGCAGCTGCTGCAGGCGGCGGCGGGGACGAGGCTGGCAAGCCTCCTAAGCGCAAGAAGGGCAAGGCAGCGGCTAAACCTGCGGCTTAGGCGCGCGGGAGAGGCTGCAGGATGATGCTGCTGCTGCTGGGGGCTTCAGGGGTGCTGCGGCAGCCGTGAGGCGGGGAGGCCAGAGGAGGTTCGGCGAGGAAGCCTGAGGAGGAGTCGAGGCTGCGCTGAGGAGGCCGCGCTGAGGAGGAGCCGAGGCTGCGCTCGCCACACCTCCGAGGGCTGCGTCACGGCGAAGCGCCGCGCGGAGCATGGAGGGGAGCCAGTTCCGAGGTGCTTAGCTGACGAGACTCTGTGCAAGTTACTTTTGTGATGTTAGTGCTCGCGCTCGTCGGTGAGTAGTAATCGTGATGGAGGGGTGTTAACAACCAAAAATCATGCCAACCATGTCTGCCACCCCAAAAAAAGGCTTCTGGACGTTTGGAACTGGTTTGAACCGC